AACATAATATAAATTTAACAAATTAAAATGATAAAAGTAATCATATCAAAATTAATCGAACAAAAAATATATCATGTTCTCAATTCGTTACTCACTCCGACCCATTTATTTCCCCATCTATTGAAATCACATGAGTCATATGGTTCAATTTAACATAAATCTATATAAAAAATAATAACTTTTTTTTATAAATAAAATTATGAAGAGTTTATATTTGATGTATTATTAATATATAAATTTTCTATATCATCAGTAAATTAAATAATATTATTTTATTAAAAAATTTTAATTTTATATGTTTATTTCAAGAGTTTATAAAATTTTATATTTAATCATTATTGATGTGACATTTTATAAATTATTGATAATATATAAAATTCATACATTAACATTATATCATATATAAAATCAATTATAAAAAAAATTAAAAAAAAAAAAAACGTAAAGCACATTGGCCAATAAGGGGAATTACCCAAAGGCTGATGTGAAACTAATTTCGGGGGACTCCACGGGTCTTTAATTTGAAAGCGGGACCATGTCCTAAACTTGTGGCTTGTCATCAACAATAAAATCTTCGATGATCATGCCGTAACTAAATACTAATTAAAGCATTAAGTGGATTCTGATTTTATATGCAAGCAAGGGGGCCCATCATCCAAACCATTCCCATGAGCTTTTTGTAACGTTAATTCTTGCAATTCTCGCGCATAATATTTTGATTAATGACTTGGAAAAACATTGTCAATGGCCTCTTCTCTGTTTTTTATTTCCTTTTTCTTTTATTATTTAGGTTTTGTTGACGCATTTTAACAGCCTATATTCTATACGATATTATTTATAATAATATTTTTACATTAAATATAATATTTTTAATATTAACAATTTATGCATCATTTGTAAAATTTTTAATTTTATAAAATAGATTAAAATATTATCTTATATCATTTTATTTATTATATAAATTTATTAATTTTTAAAAATATACTTTATTGTGATTTGTGAGTATCATCTAATTTTACAAGTTAATACCGCATTGTATTGGATAATTGTTCTAATTAGTGCTTTAGGTGAAACCTAATATTACATTATATTAATGTATTTGGTATATAAGATTATGATAATATGATAAGATGATATTATGATTAGTATTAGATTAAATAATATTATATCATCTTTGATTTGATATATGTAATAATTAAGATATAATAATTTATTTATTAGTTAAAATTATTTTTTTCAAAGTTTATATAATTTAAATTATTAATATAATTTTTAAAAGTATAATAAAACATAAAATTTTAATTTTATAGATTAAAAATAATTTTTTTTATTTTAAAAAAATTAAATCATCTTATGCCAAGAAAATAATTAATTATTTTTATAATTTTATTTTTTAAAATATAAATTAAATATAATATAAAATAATTATCATCTTATTTTATCTATAATTTTATTCATCAAATATGACTTATACATAACAATATTAAATATGGGTTTCGAGTACTCGATAAGAAAACCATTTAATGGTATATATCCCATCTCAACATTCCATATGCATGCATGATTTTGAAAAGGCTGTTGTTAGCTGGCTAGGGAGCAGCAATAATATCATGATTTTCTTTGCAATCTCTTTGTTTAATTAATTTCTTTTTCCTAGATGAATGAGGGTTCAAAAAGAAACAACAAACAGCAGACAAAATCTGATAAAAAAGATCTCGTAACAATTGATCAGAACAGGGAAAAAGATATTTAAATTAACTCTTGAAAGCTCATTGAATTGACTTTCGGTGAAACAGACTTTAAATCTTTTAGATATCTATCACTAAAAGATGCAGGCTATCACAATTTTGCTTTAAACAAAGACGTGAAATCTTCTGTTTTCTTTTGGTAAAAAACTCTTGAAAACCCTTTTAAAAAACAAAATGAAGTCAAGAATGGGAGAATTTGAATTCAAAAGCCTCCATTGAAGAGCATAGCTGTGGTTGGAGGCTTGGAGCAGTATCTTAACCAGATATTGCTTGCTTTGAAAAGTAATAAACATTATCTCCTTCAAAAGAGCATTGAAGCACTGATAAGTGCAACTAGAATAATACGTTAAAAAAGAGTTAACTTAATTGGTTCAGTTATTATTTTTAAGAGTTGAAATTTTATGAATTTTTATTAAGTCTGAGATTCGATTTTCAATATTTATAGATTTTTATTTTTTAATTTTTTTCAAACTTCCATTTTCTTTATAAAAAACAATGCTAAAAAGAATCATAATTTGAAAGTGAAAATCGGGGTAATGATTTTATAAACTGAAGTAACAGAATTGCCACGAAATCTTGATTAAATATATATTTAATTATTCAAATTCCAAATTAAAAGATTAATGTAAAACTAGAAGGTTAAAGGTTTTTTTCTTTATATAAACAAAGAAATTTAAGCTTAGATTTTTTTTATATTTGAATTATGAAAGTTATTTTTAATTAAATAACCTAATTAATAGTAGATAACAAAATTGAACTAAATGTGTAAAAAAAGTAAGCATTTTATCTATAATCATTATAGTATAATTAACCAATCACATTTTTAAAATGTGTGGGTTTATAAAAAAAATTTTAAAACCCACACTTATAAGTGATGGACCTTGCATAATTATTTATTATGATTAGATAATTGTAATATTATAATAAAAAAATTATAGGTGATATACTCTCATCACAAATAAACTAATTGTCAATAATTATGTGGTTTATTGATAAAGTATTGAACATTTAATTTCAATGATATAAGTTTAATTTTTATATAAACTTTTACAAAAGAAAATTAACATTATATTCGAACCTAATATTGATCTTTATCCAAATATTTATATTTATCAATTCTAAAAAACAATTATCTTAAGTTCAAAATTTCTTGCTGATATTTTGTTTGTTGCTGATATGTTAAAGAACTATAAAAATCATCATGATATTTATTACATGAAAAGTAATGAGAAAGTTTATCAAACAAAAAGTTGTAATTTGAGATTATCTTAAAGTTTTTTAATAAGTAAATTGTAATTTAGACCATGAAAAAGTTTGATATATTTATTGTACTCTGAGAATCCTCAATCAAGTCCTTTTATTGACCAATAAAGTAAGCTATGACAATGTTTTGGACCAAACTTTATAAATTAAAAAAAAAAAAAAGGAAAGATCTGTTTGGACCAACCCATTAGAAATTTCTTCCCACTCTTTGTAAAAGCAACAGCATCTGTCCATGGGACCCCAAAAAACCTAGATTTAGTGAAATTTGGTCTGATTTCTTGGTGGATTTGCGTAAGTAATTAAGGTAATATATCAGTTAAGAACAGTCTTAATTTTTAGTGAAATGGGACCCAATATGTTTGCTTCTTTGGTTGTCAAATTTAAAGTAACATGAAAATAGAAATACTATAGCTTTGATTAGCATCTACCTGCAAAACTAATAAACGTAACAAATCGAAAAATAAAGATGCCCAACAAACATGATTTAATTGGGATTTGCTTTTGGATAAAAGAAAAGGATCATATAAAGATTTTGAGCTGATTTTTTTTCTTGAATTGCTTGATATAGTACTGTGTATAAGAGCTTGTCTGCACGTTTTCTTCGAAACTAATTAAAATGTCAAGATGGTGCACCACACTTTGTTTATGATTGTAACCAACTGATGAGCCATAAGTACTAACTTTCTTTTTTCTGTTCAACCGAGAAAAATCTATTTAAAATGAGCATGCTCATTTTCTTTTCGTTGCTTTGCCTTAATAATAAAAAAGAAGTGATATAGTATAGCTAGGACAAGAAGCTAAACTCATTATCATCATTTTATCGTAGAACCAGCTAAAGAATTTTATTGAATTGAAGCTTAGGCTTAATTAATTAGTTCAAAATTTTTGAGAGATAAAATAAGGAAAAAATATGAGATTTATGAAATAAAAAAAATTATCTTTGATTATATAACTTTTGTCAAGCTTTTGGAAAATAAAGCTGTGTATTTTAATTGAAGGAATGGATATTCGAACTCAATCGTTCCTTAAATGAAAAGTATATATGTTCATTATTGAGTCAAATACTCAAATGTTGTTTTATTGGTATCATTGAAGTGATAATAGATGATAATTTTAAGCTAAAATGTAAAAAAAAAAAAAAAAATCTTGAATTTTATCATTTTATTTAGATAAATTTTTGTACTTTTATTACACTCAAATAAGCTTTTTTTTTATATTTTGACTTATATCCAAACAAACCCTCATTTCAAACTATGCAATTTTTTTTCTAGTTCTCTTTAATAGAATAAAAATCAACTCTTTATATAAGTAAAGGTTTTTTTTCAAACATTTGTGATCGTCAGAAACTGATGTCTTATATGCATTATGCATTATTTTAAAGGTTTATTTAAATATAAGTTAAAAATTAAAGATTTATTTGAATATAAATTAAAAATTCAAGACTTATTTAAGCACAAGTTAAAAATAAAGTACTTATTTAAATGCAATAAAAATATAAAAATTTATCGAAATAAAATAATAAAGTTTAAGGACTCTTTTATTATTTTAACCATAATTTAACTAGAGTGCAAGATTGGGTTTTAAATATTTTTTGGTAATATGGTCAAGGGTTCGTAACTTTTGCTTGGATGTAATTTTTTTTTTTATATACAAGCCATCGTCACGATGCATTTTAAGATTTTACTCTTAAAATACTCTTTGCAAAAAATCAAACTTAATTTACAAAAAGAAAATCTTTTTCTTATAAACTAGGACTTATGACAAAACTCCTCTCTTTATGCAGTGTATTAACCCTGGAATCAGTAGGATGTAATTTAATTGAAATTAGAGATAACTAGCTAGCTAGGAGCCTTGGCTTGCCTACCTCATCATCCAATATATATTATATATTTTTAAAGTTAACATTTTATACATCATGTATTCATCGGATTGACTGAAGATTTTTTTTTTTTTTTCTGAATGTTGCAATAGCATGGGCATACATGTTCAAGTTGCTGCCAAATTGCACTTCCTCCATGTGCTGCTGCTTGCTTGTGCTAGTATAGTGTATTATGTACCCCAAACCAAAACGAAATCTGTTTTTTTCTCCCCTCACCTAAAAACACTCACACAAAAAAAAAAAAACCGAACAAAATAGTAAATATGGCAATCAAATTTTCCAAGAGAAAAAGAGAAATCATTGTGCATGAATCACGACGGTGCCTTGATGAGATGGTTCATGCACTACCACACCATTTTACCCCACAAGTCCATGCAACACGTGGCAGACAATCAATGAGATCCACACTCAGGTATAAACAAATTTTCCAATAATTTTTTATTTCAAAAATAATAAAAAGAAAAGCTTTTTTACCATGAACACCCTCGATGGGGACAGATTCGAAAAATGGGGAGATTTTAGAGCGGTAGCAAATTGTGGGTCTATTAGAAAGATCACATTTTGAAAAGGCCCCACACCAAAGATTTCATACTAATGCAAGTATTTGCTCTGTGGGACCCCCTTTTATTCTTTAGCCTATGTACATTCTTTTTTTCCTTTGCATGGGTTTTGAATTGTGTGGTCCCTATTTTTTTTATTTTATTTTATTGTTTTTATTTTTTCAGTCATTTACTGTGCTCAAATTTCTAATTATTATGTTTCCCTTGTTGTTGTTTATGCAAAAATAAGAGGGTCTTTTCCTATCCCTAGCTGCTCTTCTTATTTTGATTTCACAATTGACTAGTAAATTTTTTGTTAATCTTTTTTATGGATTGTTTTGCTTTGAATGATTTTATTTAGGGAAAAACTTAATTAAAATTCTTAAGATAAAATTCTCAAGTTTTATTTAATTATCAAATAAAAATTAATTTTGAAAATAGTTCTTATAAATTGATAGATTTAGAGAAAAGATCACTAAAATGTAAAATAATATTAAAAAATTATTTGATATATTGATAGTATAATTTGATATATGTCACTTTTTTAAAAATTATTTTTTATTTTTTAAAATATAAACTAACGAATATGTTTTATCATTTTAATATTGTTTATCGAGTTAAAAAAACTTTAATGTAGTATATTTGATAATTTTTCCATTAAAAATACTATTTATACTCAAAATTTAATCAATAATTATTGAAAATGAAAAATCTGTCATAATTTTTATAAAAATATCAATATAAAAAATATCAAAATATATATTTTTTCAAACTTTTGTATACTTAATCTATGTTAGAAAACTTTTCAATTTATTAATTTAAATTTAAATTTAGTTTTTATTTGATGAAGGGATGAAGTTGCACAAAAAAAAATTTATAACTTTTTATATCTCTTTCTAGTCATTGATTTTAATATATTCAAGAGATGGGATTAAATCATTTTTTTCTTTTTTTCACTTGTCTCTATCATCCTTTGAATCCATTAAAATTAATAATTAAAAAATATATAAAATATTTTAGTTTTATACTGATATAAGTTGATTCATCCCTTTTATTTGATGTTTTTAATAAGAAATCATAGGAACTTTACCTAGGTATTTTCCTTAAAATTATGTCTAATTAAGATAGATTAAACATTGTATTACCTGTAATTAAAATGTACCGGTAAGATCTTAAATGGGATTTTCTTTGTTGTCTATCTTTACTTTTCTAAGCAATGGAAGATGGCAAATTTTTTATTTTTTATTTTTTTGATTATTGGCAAGTTAATGTCGTTATTATTAACTATAAAGAGAATGCCGGTGGGGATTAGGCTAAACTTTGGTTTCTTGCATTTTTTTGAACTCGATTATTGAATTAGATTGGAAAAGAGAAGACCTCACAATTATTGCCAGAACTTGGCTTAAATTGGCCATTTAGGTCAATAATTTATTGGTCCCCCATGGGTGCTTAAACTAAGTTTAGGACTTTTGACAATGAAAGAATACCTAAACATAAACAATTTTTTTATTTCAAAAAGATCATAAACAACTTTTAATCTTAAATTTAAAATTTAATTCAATTGAATCATATAATTATTTTTAAAAAATAAACAGATATAAACCCTTTTTCACTTTCAGCTTTTTTTAATAAAAAAAATTATATCTTACTTCTTTCAATGGATCATGAAATCTTTTCCTAATAGTATTTTTGTGGGAAAAGATTCTCTCTAATACTATTGAAAAATAGTGGAAATCATGTTCATTACATTCATCATAGATTGATACTGTAAAGATATACTTTCAAACAAATAAAAAATCAAAATTTATCTTGTTTAATTAATTTTTACTTATCTAGGATCCTTACATATATTGTTCCCATAATAATTTGGGTTCTCCACTCATTTTCCTCTTCTTTCTCTAATTCGTTATGGATATCACTTCTCAATCTAATTAAATTTCCATATTATATTTAATTTAATTACCCAAAATTTCAGATGTATTCTATTTTCAATTTTAAATTATAAATTTAATATTTTATTAACAAATAATATAGCTGTTCACAATTTTTTAATTACTACTAATTTATAAAATGTAATTAAATTAATTTGTAATTGATAATCATAATATTAATTTAATCTTTTACTGTTATTCCTCGAGAATATAGTAATACAAAAGAAAGGAAGAAATCATGGGTCACATCCCACAATCTGTTAGTTGGAACAAATTGATCGCACCAAGTTTTAAGCACGCAAAGCAACATCGATAAGACATTAAATTTTGTTATTATATTAAAAAAAAAAAAACCCTAACAAAAGGACCAGATAATAATTTAATTAAATTATGTATCTTAATTCTTAGATAATACCAATAGTAGTAGTTTAATTAGTTAACCACTTTTTCTTTTCAAAGTCATCCAATTCAAACCCGCAAAAATCATGACCAAATGGCAACAAAGATCTGCCCTGGATTTTCCTTGACAATCAAACAAAATCCAAAGCAAATAAAAGAAAAAGAAAAAAAGAGAAAAGGACAGAAAGAAGGAGAAAGAGATCAGTTGTTGTACCAACACACGTTACAGAGAATCTAGTGAGAGATGGGAGATCACAACTTTTTTTTTGCTTTTTCTTTTCTTCTTTGCCTTTCTCTTTGCTGCAAAATACAGTTGCCCTTCTCACCTATACTTCATAAAAACCTACGGAAACAACCCTTTTCTCTCACACACACTCTTTCTTTCATTTTTCCACCATAAGCGTTTCAATTCTCCCTTATTTTCTTCCTTCTTTCTTTTCTCTTCATAGCTAGGCTGTATAAAAAGGCCTGCAATTAAGAACTTACTAAAAATCAACAAGAAAAACTGGTTTATTTTCTCCATCGGAAGTTTCATTAGGTCGACCGATCGAGGAATAATATAATATTGGTTTTGTATTCTAGTTATAAGTTTCTTTTGACAGTGATGGAGTTGATGAATTCAGACAATATTATTCAAGACAGACCCAAGCCGCAACAAGAAATGCAGCAACAGCAGCAGGAACAACATCATCACTTTCATGTGTTGGCAGTTGATGACAGTGTTATTGACAGGAAGTTATTGGAGAAACTCCTCAAAGTATCTTCATACCAAGGTGACATTAACCATGATATTGTAATAGTAAAATCCTAACGCTTTTTCAGTCCAACCCTTCAGAATTCTCAACTCTAGCCTTGTCTTTTGCCTTTGTTCCCCTTAATTTCCCACTTTTTGAAAAGGGATTTTGTATCTGATTGATTCTTGATTGTCGGTTTTACATATAATTGCAGTGACCTGTGTCGACTCCGGGGATAAAGCTTTGGAATATCTTGGTCTGCTTAATAACTTGGACCCTCATCAGTCAACAGCTTCTTCTTCTTCTTCCTCCTCTCCATCTTCTTTTTCTTCTACCTCCTTTTCTTGTTCCCAGTCTTCGCAACAAGAGGTAGTGGCTCTCACTTTGTAGTTTGCTTGTTGCATGCATCACTTTCACGTTTAAACTAAGTATATCATTTTTTTTAACTCAAAATTAAGGTTTTGATCATTCTCATTAGCCTGTTAATTTGGGTTTTATTTTCTTGAAGTGAACATTAATTATCTCTTTTTATTATTATTATTATGGGATACATTAATTCTACACTTTCTTGTTGAGATAATATTGCGCGAAAGAAAATCCATGCCACAGTTTTTACAAGAACATACAAAAAGTTTTCTCCCTTGAGGAGGAAGATAAAAGTTAATTGTAGACAAAGCACAATTTTTACTTGTGTTGAATCCAAAATAAGGGATTCGAATTTGGTAGAATATTTGTCTAGTACCAACTATATTCGTTAATCTGTTAATTCAGTTGTCTTGATAATAAGTGATTTTAAGTTCTATTTACCAATATCCGTAATTCACCCTATTCAAAATGCATGCTTTTGATCTTGAGTGTTGGCTTAATTGATCATGTTTTCACCTTTAAGGTAAAGGTAGTTTGAGATTCAAGTTTTAATATTTACAATTCTTCCTTTGTCCTTGATTTTAACCCTTTTTCACTAATTTTTTAGGGCATCTCTAGAATCAAATTTAGCAACATTGAAAGACAATTTTGATATAATAAATGATGAGTTATATGCTGCTAAGGACACATCCAAAATCCAGTGTCTGGTAGATTTGGAAGGACCATATATATATATATATATATATATATATATATATTACATGTTTTCTAATGGATGGTAACATGAATCCATAATTGAAAAGAAAGAAAATGCTCTACAGCTATATAATTGGTTCAAAATTTCATATATATTAGGAAATATGAATGCAGAGTAATTAGGCCATGTGAGAAAAGGCAGATTTTAATAGTTAATCATGATTCATTTGTTTTCCCTTTAATAGGTACAATATTTGATGCGTAGTTTTTGTAGCATGATTGAAAATCAACCCCCCAAAAATTACAGATTCACATGGGCCTCACATTCCCTAAAGATAGAGATAATGTCAACATTTCACAAAATTTTTTTCCAAAATCTGAGTGCTAAAATCCATATATACCTATTATCTATTTGTTAATCCAATTTCGATTGTTCTCCTAATATCAATTTTCTTAATCATTCTATTCTGTACTATCTGCAAGTAATTATTAAGAAGATACAATAAAATTTAATCAATATTTTTTTATATTAAAAAAAAGGTCATAATCAAGGATGAAGAAAGAAATTGTAAATGTTAAAATTTAAATTTTATACATATTAGAATTTTTTTTAAAGTGACGGTATAAATTAATTTATTAAATATTATTTTTTAAAAATAATTGTATAAATTAATTGATTTAAATTTTACGTTCTTTTAATAGCTTACAATGCATACTTTTTTTTCACAAAAAATTATTATTATTATTATTATTATTATTATTATTATTATTACCTTGTCTCTTGCAATTAATCTTTTTAGTGTCATCTTTGAATATAGAATTAAAGTTGTTTATATATAAGGATAACACTACTAACATTTTTCTTTTATTTTTGCATCTATTGTAGGGACTTAAAGTCAACTTAATCATGACAGACTTCTGTATGCCCGGAATAAGCGGCTACGATTTACTCCAACGGGTCAAGGTCAACGTAATCCGTCTTAATTAATTTTCTTTGATTATATTTATAATTTATTCCGCATGCTTGCTGACTAAACAGGATATCAAATTTAAGAAGCAAAAAAAAAAAAAAACTGTTGGCTCACATGCATGAAAACAGTTGACTCGATCTTGATCATTACTATGGCTATCTATTTGATTATTAAAGAAGAAACTTTTAATTAAAAGATTTTAATTGGATTTCGTAAACTAATATTATTAGAGTTTATTTTTTATATTAATTCGAGATTAACAAATTAATATATATCTTTTTTTTAATTAGTTCTTTTATTTTTTAATATATTTTATTATGTATGCATTACTTTATTTATTTAAAATTTAAAATTTTCTTCGACTATAAATGAGATAATTTCTCATACTATTATCTATAAAATAATATCTTCACCTAATTTCTTATTCACTTGGACTTTGAATTTTGACGGATTACTCCTAACGATATCAAAATTTTTAGTTTACCTTGACGAAGTGAATAGATGTATGCATAAGAAAGTGAAAACAATTTGAGTTGAGAGAAATATGTAGCTTTGGATCTATGTAGGAATAGCAAACAAACAGAAACCTTAAAGTAGATTAAGCAAAAAAAAAAAAAAGGCCCCAAAACTGTTTGAAAGGACCATAAATGATTTTCTCAAAGAATTTTGCAAGCAAAGATGTCTTATGGTTTACCTTTTCCCGTTCGGTTTGGAGTCAAGTTTATGATTGCTTCAAACAAGAAGTAAAAAACACAAAATCTTCTTTATCATTTATTTTTTTAATATCATAACAACTTGTGTGGATTTTGCTTACAATTGCAGGGATCTTCTTGGAAAGATGTACCAGTCGTGATCATGTCATCAGAGAATGAACCTTCAAGAATTAGCATGTAAGTTTTTTAATTTTTTTTTTTTTAAATTTCTTGATACGTAAGATTGATTAAACGACATGACAGGTGCCTAGAAGGAGGAGCAGAAGAATTCCTGTTAAAGCCTCTTCAATTGTCAGACCTAGACAAAATTCAAGCTTACCTTCTGAAATCCCTTCGTCAGAATTCTTGTACCAACATCCACAAAGACTTGATTGTTGACGATGATGACAACACTAGTAACAAAAACAGCGACGACAACAGTAACGAAAATGGTAATAGTAATAATAACAACAATAATTTTAGCAAGAGAAAGGCTATATCTTCTGAAGCTACAGAGATAAGAAGACCAAAAATGAAAGGAGTAGCTGTAGGAGTATGAAAATATGTTTACGGCATTTTGTTATACTTGGGGTGTTTATTTACTTGGTTAATGCTAATATCCAAGCCTTTAATTCTGGCTTATTGTTATATTTCTACTTATAGACTTAAAAATGTAATTAATTTAGCATGATAACATGAAAATCATATAAATTCCGCAATCCAACAGGAAATGGGGAATGGATGATTCCTAAACTCTATTCAAACTTCTTTTTTTATTGTTTATTTTTGGAAAAAAAGAAAAAAATTTCAAACTGAACCAAATGTTTCAAGTGCAAAGTTATTAATTAGGATATTGATATCCAACTTAAGACGCTTAACCTATTCCGAACTCAAGCAAAATCCGAAGTATGATAATCATAAAAATGGGCATCTAAAAACCCGTAAGTCAAGCCCGAGGGTATGTGCTCTTAAAATCCAACAGATTCGGGTGAAACATATTTTGAGGTTGGGTTGTGTTTAGTTTGATATGAATAAAAACCGCACGGACGGGTGGACTTGGCCTTAAATCTAGCCCAAAACTCCAATTCAAGAAACATGGCCCTACCGGCCTATCCCAAACTTAGCCATTTTCATGTTGTTGAATTTGTAATCCATATAATCATAGCATTAGGCTCTTAAAAAGAATCAGCAGCGTGCGAATCCAGGAGGTTGTGCATCAACAAGTTCAGGGTTTCAACTTTCTATTGAACTCTGACGAGGTAAATACGTTGAGAATCTTTAGTAGTAAGAATGCGTGAAACAGACAAACATGTTCATCCTTCAATGACTTGATTGCTCATGAAGCAACTCTTTCCATCGCATATTACTAACCAAAGCAATCGGCAGTAACGGAAAACAATTAAAAACAAATAATGGGCAGAAGAGAATAAATTCAAAATATCCTTTCTAGATTTAACTTGCTCGGATGTTTCATACAGCCCAGTAACTGTTACAACTACTCTGAACTGTAACGCCTAAAACTTCCGGAAAACACATCCTGCATTATTCAGACAGATTTTTAAATGTAAAAAGGGCTACAGAGTAAGGGTAGGAAGTGAGGGAGGAAGATCAGGCATCATTCAATGATAGCAGTTCTTCTATATAACTGCAATTCAAAATACCATCTATGTGGTATCTTGTGTGCTCAAACCCTGCAAAAAAGGATCAAAGAATTTCAGCATTAAAATTTTTGACAAGGCTAAGGTTTTCTATGGTTGTCCCTTCCCCTATTTTGCTTCCTCATGTATCGAATGATAAAATAAGATTATACTATTAAATTAACAACAGAGCAATTCAAACATGGAAGAGTCTAAATGTGCATTGCTTTAATTAAATTTATTATAATCTACTTACAGAAACAAACATACCATAAGACCAAGGAAGACAAAAAAGTTGATATAGAAATGTAAGAATCTTACCCTCTTCAGAGCTCATCTTTTACCGACTCTTGATGGACAGTTTTGTCCCTGTTCTTTTCAATGAAGTCTACAATGTCTTCCTTGGTCCTATCACCCTCATATGGAGTTATGTTTCCATTAGCCGATCTAAAGTAAACAGTTGGGAAACCTTTAACATCAAAGTTCTCATCCACAATATCATTTGCTGTTGCATCCTACAAAGATAGATGGAGAAGCCAATGGATCAGAAAATCTTCCCAAAAAGTAGACCGTAATTTAAAGTTAAATAACAAATCATCATCGATTCATGGTGTTCTAAGAGACAATTGTACCAACAATAACCAACCAAGACCTTTTATTTTAAAGCTTTTTCTATCATTTCTGTTATCCTCTTCTAAACACAGTATTGCTCAAAACTTCACCTGACCAAAACCTAGATCTAAATATAAACTGAAACCTTAAAAGTTGGAAAATACACAACATTCGAGAGTAATAAAAACTTACAAGTTTTCCAATCAAAACATTAGCATCTTTTTCATAATGGACGGCAACTTCATCCAAGATTGGTGCCAATTTCTTGCAGTGTCCACACCAGGGGGCATAAAACTCAAGCAGAACTGCAGAAAGAAAAGCTTGATATTATTTTATAATTCCCAAAAGGTGGTTACTAAAATAGAATTATCAGAGTTCAATATACATGAAGACCAAAGTCTAGCATCAAAAGTCGCAAACCACCGGAAAAATCCACCAAACTCAAAACATTTTTCAAGTCCCCAACTTAAGACTCACGGAATATCTACCGATAGCTCCCAAATGAAAAAGAATAAGCTACCAACTTCTTCGAAGTTAAAGTTTAGATGCCTATAACTAATTCTTATCTTTACACTGAAAAGAACTTATCAACCAATAAGTCATGTTTTGAACCCAAAAAAAAAATTTTAAAAGAAAACTATCTGAAAAGCATGAGAACCCATAAAAAAAATGCTTCCATAGAGTTGATTACTAGGATTTGCTGATTTTAAAGGTATCAACAAATTCTCAATCGAAGGATAAACTGATTATTGGACTTTGCACAAGCTACAGATCAAGATCAACTCCGTCCAAATTCAAAGATTCACACCGTTGGATAAAAACAATGCAAACCAATTCTGAGCATCCATCGTAACTTCAATTGCCATAAACTCTAGATGATAACATCATAACCTTAAATGAAACAAAAAGCAAATAATGCAGCAGACTACCAATATGATAAAGGAAAAAGTATCAAGCAAACTACACAAACCATTTTTTCCTGATTTGAAAACCATATCCTGTAGGGTGTCAGCAACCACCACTTTCACAGGTTCATTATTCTCCTCGGGTATAGGTTCAGATTTTACATATGGAGGAACTTTTCCTTCCTGCAGAAGAGTACTTTAGTCAAACAAAAACAGAAAACAACCACTCATAGATTGTAACTCACCGCTAGATATCCTATCACTAAACTCATGACATTAACCAGTGCAAGCTTCAGAATTGTGCAATTATACCAAAGCTTTCATAGTAAGAAAGGATAAGTTTTATCATCTATTCTGAACCAATACATTAAATGTAGTGCACAAGTCACCTTGTAATCCTTCACCCATGGTGCAATGTCATGAGCCTCCAAATTTGGTTTCAAATACTTCTTCCCATCATTATTCTGAATGATAATTAGAGGTACTTGGCTTTCTTGAACTCCAAAATACTGTTTCCCAACAAACAGAAAAATTAGACTCGAGTAGCAAACGCAATAAACATACTGCCATATTTGAGTAGATGAATACCTGGAAGGCAGCTTGACTAGCCTCAAGATCTCCCAAAAGGAAACTAATGCCCTGTCCTTTGTATTGCTCTGCAACTTCTCGATATTTTGATTTTAAGGAATCAATACCTTCACTGCTCAAGTTTGCAAACAACATAACCTAACAGATTCAAAAGTCCTATTAGTAGATGAACTTAAAGGATATATGGAAAAAGTTAAGACAATCAAACCAAAAGTATATAGAAGGAAGGGAAAGCTAATAAAGAACTGAAAGACACAGTCAAAAGTTCACTAAAGGTGAATCAAGATGTATATCCGGTAGTTTAGGAAGCATAACAAAAGTTGGTACTCCAAAATAATGCTTGTTATCAAATAAATACCAGCCTCTGATTTCCTTCACTGTTGTATAAGAACTAGGTGATTAAGAGAATGAAATTTCTGATTGTGTAATTTACCTTCGCATTGGGACCGTTATAGAACTTGATAACAAAGGGGTGATTGCTTGGGTCACTGTTAAAGAGAGTCACAAGAGGAATACTAGATTCTTCAACAAACTTCTCTAGAGCTTCCACATTAAAATCCTGCAAGCAAAGAGTTTCTGTCAAAATAGCTAATAGTAAATGGTTCAGAGGTATCTCACAACATAAACTTAAATGAGCTTTTATTTCAATTATGATATAGAATACAGTCAACGCTCCAGATTACCTTGAAGTCAACAAAGAGTTCATCAAAAGGTTTGAAAAGTCTGACCACAGGGCCAGTCACTGTTGATTCACCACGAGGAAGGTGTTTAGCATCCCAAGAATGACCAAATTCATAGTCAGAACGCAATTTCTCAGCAAGTGACATATAGCTCTCAAACTCTTCACCAGAGAATTTTGGGAACACCCCAACCTAGAAACAGAACATGTACATACATATAAGCTAAACTTGTGATGAAATATCAGTGAAAACAGAAGAGCAAAGAATTCTCAGAGAGCCTACAACTACTATCTTCTTGTCATCAATAAGGTTACTGGCATCTTCTGCAGATTTTATTTCAGCAGAAGCAGGACCACTTTGTTTCTTCAAATACTCCACAATACCATCAGCTTCACGTGGACCTTTGTATTCTTGAACATTCTTTCCTCCATTTCTCAAAATTTTAAGCGTAGGGTAACCCCTGACTTCATATTCTTTTGCCAAATCTTTGTTTGCTTCCTCATTGGCATCAACCTTAGCTAGAAAGATTGGAGGGTCGTGTTTACTCAATATAGATGCTGCTTTTTCATACTACACAACAAACAAAAAAGTTTTATTGATAGCATCTGACTAAGCATATGAATTATCAAAAACTTTAATACTTTGCAGAAAATCTAATTTTTTTTTACCTCTGGAGCAAGATTCTTACAGTGCCCGCACCTAAAGTAGAAGGAAAGAAGACTATTTAGTTGCGAGAACGTAAACAAGACTAACAAGGCATATCAAGAAACAAAAGGAATTGCAAATTGTAAAATGAGAAATTAAGTTAAATCTCTCAAAACTGAAGCATTTCATTGCTAAATCAAATAATCATTGTATAAAACATGTAATCCATTGGTTATCAACGACTGCAAATCATGTTTGCTTTGTTTAGATAACAAATTATTTTATGAATAGAATAATAATATACCAGACTGGCCAAAAGATCCAGAGTTGCAGTCTAATATTACGAGATTTGTTATTAAAAAATTTCATGTCAGCATGACATAACACGACAACATGTTGCAAGTTATATTTTAATTAAAAAAGGCCAAACTTCAGCTACCCACCCGATCCAAACCGAGGCTTAATTACAAGAAAAAGGATTTTCATAATAATCTCAAATATCTAAAATGTCACATCAATAAACATAATTTCAAATCTTATTCTAAAGGGTTGTTACTGTTTCGTTAGAATTTATGAGAATTTCTCGCTGCTTCCGAGAGTAAATGGTTTCTTTCGAGAACTCGATGAGCAATCCATTATATCATTTTCATATAAACAAATGCCAGATTGCAGACTAAGAGTTCAAAATCTCATTATAAATTGCTCATATCAATCAAGCAAATCTAAGGTTAATCACTGATCTCAATTCCTAATAACTCAAATTGAGAATTTTTCCAGGAAAAATGCACTAGAAAAAATCCTCAAAAAGATTACCTTTGGCATTACATTTTAAAAATTTATAAGACAGCCTCCTTAAATCCTAAATCAGCTACTAAACTCATTGCATGCACTTGAAAATATAAAAAGGAGAAGCGAAAATAAGATCCCACAAATATAAACAAAATTTAGGGGAAATGGAATATGAAAGGTTTACCAAGGAGCGTAAAATTCGACGACGATGAAGTTGTGCTTAGCAACAGTGTCAGTAAAGTTAGAGTGATCCAAAGTCAAAACGAACTCTTTCGATTCACTGCTCTCTTCAGCTGAGATCGCAGTCAGAGAGCACAGGATTGCAGCCAGAGCACACCAAACCGAAACACTTCTCGCCATTATCACAGCTACCCCCATCTCTCTCTCTCACTCCCTTTTTATTTTTTTCCCTCTCTTCGATATTTATAGGGTTTTTAAGGACTGATACGACACTCTTAGAAAGTGAACAAGATATAAATACTCTTTGGCAGGTCACGTAGTCGATTATGCGCTGACGACCTACTCGCTCCGCGTGTGGTTGATTTCCACGTGGAAGATAGTTATTGGACAGTCTTCGTCATTGAAAGCTAGTTGGGAAATCAAATCGATGTATGGCAAGTATATCTGGGTTTTTAATTTCTTGAGATTTTTTTGGACAGTAAGTAAAGTGTGAGTGTGAGCTCGGCGGCCAAATCAATAGAATCCTGCCACGTCATTATTTTTGCACTGTAATTGGCTATACCCTTTTTTTTACATTTCGTGGTTTTGACCGTATTGGATAAAAAATATTTCACTTTTAATAATCCGGAATAAACGGCTTAAAATACAATTACAACACTTTTATTCCTCCTCCGTGAGAGTTAGTAGAATTAGTAATTTATTCTGCCATGATGGGATTGGATCTTATCCTTTCTAGATTTTATCAATGCCTTTACTGTACACACATTTTTAGGATAAATTAAAAAATTAATTAAAAAATAAAATATGTAATAAAAAATTAAAAATTTTATTATTAATGTACCAAAACTAAAGTCAACATGAGTGTCATAATGGATTGATTAATGCAAGATGAGAGGAAGGCTTTTTAGTGTCAACGAAAATTCATTGACTTAATAAATTTTTAAAAGTTCACTTATAAAATAAAAATTTAAATCTTCCTATTAACAATATTTTTTTAATGAATAATTCATAAATTTAATATAATTTTTTATGAAATTTATAATTTACTCTGATTTTGAAATTTAAACTTTAAAAAAAAGAAAAAAAAAAACTTTAGCGGTAGCAGTGGAGTAATCACACTATTGATTTTTTATTTTTTTTTCCAAAGCCCATTCATTGGTAGACTCTAAACCCAGCTTGCCAAACAAGGTGTTCACGGTTTGGGCAACCCGTGACAACAATTTGGCAACTTGATTTGGTAGTAATAACTTTCCTTAATGATTATTAAAATTACTAGTAAAAAACCAACAAAAGATAGAGTTAAAAATTAAAAAAAAAAAAAAGTGCTAAGGGATGATACTTTAAGGATGGAGGCGTCCTACTAGATGATACTTGTTGTCCTATCTTTGGTCATGAAAATTAGCATACATTAATATTGATCATATGTAGAGAAGCAACCCAATATTGGGTTGAATTCTAGCCTGCTGGATTTTGATATTTGGCTTTTAAAGTCAACTGCAAAGCTAGCGGACCTTCCTCTGTAAGATTGTGGATGCTTTGGTTTCAAAGGAACAAGAACTCTCAACAATGAAGGAAATTTAGGAAATATATCATGTCATTTTGATTTATTAGTTAAGTCTATATAATTGACGTGATAAGAAGTAAGAATTAGTTTAACAAAAACAATGAGCTTTTCATGTTATCTAACCAGTCAAAATTTTTTTTCCAAGACTGAGCTACAATATATATGTCTACTCCTAACTACAATCCTCCTCCCATACAGTCAGCTTACAACCAATAAATGAATATTTTCTGTACAAAGTTGCTACCTAACTATATCTTAAGGGGTTATTTCTAATTGACCAGGGGGATTTAAGGTTTCAAAAGCCAATATCTGTTGGGAAAACTTCTTTCAATGATTCTACAACCCCCAAACCCAAATAAGTTCTTCTCAAAGCAACTGTCTTTTATGCCTAACATTCTTTATCAGCAAATCTAATCTCACATGGCTACTGCACATACAAAAGGCAGGCTTTCTTCCTAGGGAGATATCAGGCTAGGAGACTCCAGCATTTTCAAGCCTGACCTGCTCATGAGCTTTCAAAACCTCTGAGGTAAAGTTGCCCAAGGCTTCAAAGATTGGGACCAAACCTGCTTGTAAACTACTTGAAGCAGCATCATGAACTAATTTGATGGCATCCTTATGCCTAGCTCTCTCTTCCTCTAATTTCTTCCTTATAGAATCCAAATCAACCTTTAGGTCATCCAGTGGTGAAACTCCACTTTCAGAAGGAACCTTGGAAACGGCAGTTTTATCTGATAATGCATCTTGCTCCTGCTCTATCCTCTGCCTCTGTAAATGTAACTCCCTAAGCCGTTTCTCAAAATCCTTTGAGAGATATTGTGCTCTGGTCCTCTGACGTTGCTCTGCATCTTGCCTTTCCCATAACTCATGTAGGCTGGAAGCAAAATTGTGCATGGCATTTGCTACACCCCTTTCTGAAACTCTATCCATTGCTTGGTACCAATCATTGCAAATTACAAAAATTGGAGGTGCTCCAACCCGGCCTGGGGAGAAAGGAGCAACTCCATCAGCAGTTATTTCCTGTTCACGTTCAATGCATCTCATAAGCCACTCATATAAGGACCCAACATATGCCTTTTGGGTGTTAATCCAATCATTAAAGCGAGTGCACCAGTCCAAAAGCTCCATCTCAAGCTCAGCAGTAGCTTTCAAACCCGAGTCTCTTTGGAAACCGGTATTTGCTCTAAAAGAGCGAACTTTGCTCTCCGTTATGGCTTGGAACTGTTTCTGATGGCATCTAAGCATGGACTTCCACATTCTTATCAACCTGCAAATTACCACATGTCATCACATAAGAACCTCAAGAAGTAAAATGAAAGCAGCAAGAAGAAATAGGTGTGCAATGAGTTGCCATTTCCACATAAAGACATAAATGCCTTCATTATGGGGGGGAAAGGCATGCTCTTGGCTATCACAAGCTTCAAATATAGCAACACATCATCGCCAGCAGATCTTTTGACACTTTTAGTTGACATCACTCAAAAGTCAAATAGGCAAATTACGATATTAAGTTTGCATCAGATACAAATGAACACCTCCACAGCTTTTCACAACATGCCAATAAAATTTTGCTATGATGGTAAACAAGAATAAGAGAAAACTAAAATCATTTCCCCAGCAAGTTGCAGGTTGAATTAATGAAAGAGTCATGTAGTTATAATAGCTTAAAGGCATACCACCAATACACAATAGTATCATTATGCACAGGAGGCATGATTCACCATTCAGACACAATATAACTGTAACAACTGAAAAGTAAAAGTTAAAAGTGTTTTGCATGAGTAATTTCCTAAGTCAAATAGCCCAACCACACAAAACTTTATTTCATCCCCAACCAATATAGAAGCCATTACTGGTGCACGGATTTAATGAAAATCACCACCAATAAAATAACATGATGATACCCCCAGAGTCACTCACAAATCATGTAATAGATCATCAAGAGGCACTATGATTCATGAAGATAACTAATTAGTAAGCACACTGATGATCAATTTTAACTAGGAAAAGAACAGAAGTCAATACCCATGAACCAATTCACACAGCTGTGGCTGCAATTCTTCATCCCTTAGCTTATGTATCCTTGTTGATATAGTTTCAACAGCCTTTATACAAACATTAATTTTTGTCAGCAACTTCCTTGTTGAAGCCTGTGCTGCACCAATCTTGCTGGCCTCTGCTCCTTGGCCATCTAACCTTCTCAGCCTCTTACACTTCTTCTCATAAATAATCCGTAGCCTTTCTTCATCCTAAAATCAGGGCAAATACAAACATATTATTTGTACGATACTAAAGCAAACAAAATGTTTTCAAAAAATAAACGAGTGACAATTTGTTAATACATCCAGGCCAAATTTGAATTCACAATTGAAAATCTTAGTACTTGGTTGATGTGGGCTTGATTTTTAACTATTGTGCAAGAAATAGTGCATGGGTAGAGTCATGTCAAAGGACTTAGAAAAGTTGGCCAAACTGTAATAAAGAAACATAAAGATTTATCTTAATATGAATGGCAACAATAAAATACTAATTCCCGGTTATCAAAATGCAAACCATAAAGTCCAATTACCATGAAGTTCTCTTCCATATTGGAACAAACAACTTCAAAACTTGCCATGGGTATCAGTATTTAATGTCATGCATGGTGTCATAGCAGAAACTAATGCTTCAGATTATATAGAATCACTTAATGACGACTAAAACACTTTTAAGTTTTAAAACCCAAACTTTTTGTTTACTTAGGAAGTAAGAGTTGAAATAACAGAAACTGGTAAAGAAACTACCAATACATAATAATAATAATAATAATAATAATAATAATAATAATAATAACAAACAGAAGAAATCTTTGCTTAGCTAGAAAAGCTGAGGAAAATATCAGATCGTAAGATATAGCAAGCGACTTGAAAAACAATCCAATAGGTATCACATTTTTTACTACACCAGAAAACTGAACAACAAAAAGCACTATAGCTTTTGTGAATAATAACTACTATGATATACAACCTTTTCAGTCCTTTAATGTAAAATGATTGGGCAATAGATATCGAGAATAAGATTACCATCACATTGCAAAGTACAGAAGCAAAATTTCTCTTTATTTATATAACATGCATACCTTGACTTCTTTATATAATTTCTTTTCCCATGCATAAAGTTCCTCCAAAGTTGATGAAAGATTTCTATGCTTTTCATCCTGCTCTGCTACCTGACAGTATTCTTTTGCCATTCTCATTGCCCTGGAAGTTATTCGAATAGATGATCTGGGTGGAGGATGTGATGACAACATGCTAGGTGCCACCAGATACATGATCCTGGAAAAGATCACTGCAGAAAAGAGATGTGAGCTTCAATAAAGCAGCAAAGTAAATGATTTTGAAAAGGAATACCACTTAAAATCTACTAAGCCAGATAATTCAATCATCTATAGACACAAGGATTGAACAGTTAAAATCATGACAGCATAGAAGTGGGTTAGTTTACAGCAGATCTAGCATTCAGTTTCATCCCATGCTCAGTGTTTCAACTTTTATTGGGATGTAAAATAATGTACTTAGCTACAGTCCTAGTTGTATCAAAATCATTTTCTTTTTAGCATTTTGGAAACATGTAAAACTAGTCCTGTTTCGATTTAGGCATTATTATATCAATACAAGACTCGTTAGAGACCTGAATTTCATTCAAAGCTTAAGCAATATTTACGAGAAAGGAATTAAAAAATTGGCTTGTATGTCTAACCAGTGAAAAGATACAAAACATGAATTCACCCCATACCAATACAGTAAAATCTTTAAACATCCCTCTCCCAAAGTCTAACGAAGCATATTCAACAGGCCAACTTTACAAGCATCCAACAACAGAAACAAAAATGGAGAACAGGACAAGAAAAAGAAGCCAAGTTGAAGGAAAAAAAAAAAAAACAGAAACCCACCTCTAAACGCAGTTCCTTTACGCTGGTGATAAGGCAGCTTGCCAACCTCAAGCAATACAGCAACCTCTTTCCCATAACTAGAGGCAGTCTCGAACTCATCCTTAATCTCCTTTACAACCTCCTGGAGATCCCTCGTACCGTGGACGGACAATGTAGTTAAACTACTCGGCATGGAAGACCCGACATCCAAATTAGCTGCCTCTTCTACCTCAAAACTCACCCTTTTATTCTTTGCAAGGTCTTCCTCAGAACTTTTTGTAACAATAGTATCACCACCTCCACTACTTCGATTAATATTAATATGACCAACAGACTCTAAGCTCTCACTTTTGCTTGATGGCATTGCCTTCGAAGCTGAACTTGGTCCATCTGCAGTACTATTATTAACCTTTTGAACTGGAACTGACTTTGAAGTACCTTCACCAAAGTTCTTAATGTTATTACTATTATTATAACTGTGATTCATTTCCTCATTCATTATTTTCCTCTTCTCTTTATGAGCAGCTCTTAACATCTCAGGCTCAGTTTCATCTTCCAAATCAGGGATCCCTTCTCTCTCCCTCACCTCCTTCGAGTCTGGACTACTCGCAGTCGACCCGTATCCGTATCTAGCCACCGGATAATAACCCGGATACCCGCTACTATCAAAAGTATCGAACACGTTAAGAAAATCCCATGTCGAATTTCTAGGCGGAGACGGCGGCGCTGGCGGAGGTTGTGGTGAAGCAGGAGGAGAATTCCCCTGCCCATATCCATATCCCCCTCCTGGAGACCCCAAAGGGTACCCAAAAAAGCCCCCATTTTGATAACTTGAGTAGCCATAACTTGAACGTCCTTCAGGCTCCTGATAAACAAAAGATTGAGAAGGTGTTGCAGATTTCTTCATGTAATACTTATAGGAAGTAGAATTACCATTATACCCCCAGTTTTCTTGAGGGGGAGGGTAAGGATCTCCATAGCCATAGCCATAGCCATAGCCATAGCCATAGTTGTAACCATAAGATGTTGCCCCTTCTTGTTCTGGGCTGTGGCTATGACTATGATCCATATGAACATGACCTGAAGGTGACCCGGAAATTGAAGGTGACCCAGATGACAAATCCAAATGAGAATCCTCTCCATCACTTTCTTCTTTGTCTTTTTTCGTATGTTTGGTGTTTTCTTCAATGGAATGGGAAAGGGAAGTTGAAGAAGAGGACGGTAAGTGGTTGTCGTCCTTTTTCTTGTTCTTTTTTGAGGATTTGAATTCGTCAGAAGGCAATGTTAGAACAGGGGAATCAGGGGAAGAGGAAGATCCGACGACGAGTTCTTCGTCGACGAATCTACGGATCGCTTCACCAACGTCGCGGAGAGAATGGAAGTAGGTGACATGAGCAGCGGCGAGAGCGGAACGATGAATGGACGCCGCTTTGATTAGTTCTTTACGTTCTTTACAAAGGGTTACTAAAGGTAAGTCGTCGACTTTAGATGGTCCGCAGCCCATAATAGTATTAGCGACGAAAAGCGTAGCCAAAACTAAAGAAGAAGAAGAAAAAGAAGAATAAGACGAAAGCCCAAGATAGAGACTTGATGCAGTAGTTCCACTCATGGTGCCTGCCCATAATACAATCCCAAAAAACAAACCATTTTTTTCTCAGTAAACAAGCAAAAGGATCCAAGACAGAGAGAACTTCGATAAGAAAAAAAAATACAACTAAAATCTACAAGTACAAAGGAAAGAACTTGACTTTGATTTGATACATGCAACGAGAGATAAAGGTGGAAAAACTCTGACCTTTGAGATTGGAGAGAGCAATAAATGACCGTCCATGCAGAGAGAGGGGGAATAGTTTGAGATTGATGAAACTGAGATATGGGTTTTTGTAGTTTAGTTATTGAATTCAGAGTGCAAAAAAAAAATTCAGTTTTAAAAATTGAATTTATAGAGATGCGTGAAGGGGGTATGTGTGGGGATGAGAAAAAAATGAACGATTGACTTTTGATTTTGTTTTGTTTCGTTTGTGCAGAGAGAGGGGGGGTCAGGGGCTGTTCAGAGTTGCAGAGGAGAGGACGAAGGCTTGTGGAACCCAACATTATTACCCCCATTTACCCATTTTCTTTCTTTTTTCTTTTCTTTTCTTTCAATTTTCAGTTTTTATCTTTTTTGGAATAGCAGTAAATATTAATTGACTGTAATAAGTTTGCATTTGGCTAAAATAACAAAAAGTTCTTATATTTTATCATTTTATTTAAATAATTTTTATATTTTTATTGTATTTAGATAAATTTTTTTTTTTTTAATTTATATTCAAAAATTTTTTATTTTTAATTTATATTAAATATATATTTAACCTGTAATTTGTGAGTTTTATTTTTATATTTTCACATAAAGCATGATTTCACTTTAAAATTATTAAGATATAAGCTATAGAATATTATTTCATATATCTTATAATTTGTATATTTTATAAATGAAATTAAAATATTATTATATTATTTAATTTATATATTATATTTAATTACTTTAATTGTATTATATTATTTAATTTATAAATTATTTTAATATAATTTAATTGGATACACGAATAATTTTTTAGAAAAGTTTTAAAACTTAGAATAAAGTGTGTATGAGATAATGTTCTTATATGATAGTATTTATAAAAAAAAAATCTAAAATCTCAATTAATCTATCTAATCAATTATATAAATTTTCTTTATATAGTGTTTTTTATACATAGAAAATGGGCTAATACCATAATACCAATAATTTCGAAATTTATTTTATATAATAATTTTTAAAAATTGATATTCAATATAAAGAAATAATATTAGTAAAGAATGTAAGAGATAATATTAGTAACTCTCATGAAAACTTTAAAAAAGAAACTATATTTTTTAATTAAAAATTGCAGAGTCCAACCACTTAATGCATCCTCAACCTAATATTACCAAAAGTAGTTAGATTCTTCATTGTAGAGCCCCATTGTAACTATCTTTTTCATATTCCTGACTAACTTCAAAAGGAAAAACTTTACTCTAATTTAATTAGCCATTAGGCAAAGACTCTAGAGCAAGTTCTGCTATTTTGGTGTGATTTTAATGCTGTGTGTGTTTGTAAGGTGAGAAAGATGTAGATTTGGTAGGCAGAATGTTAAAATGAGAGTTGTTGTTGGCAACGCCAGCAAAAGGCATGCTGCAATGAACAGATATAAATAACTAAGAGTCTGACCCAAGTTACCATCCTTACAAATAATTACTATATATTAACCATCTAATTCGATTTTTTTTTTAATTTTTTGGTTTGTTTGGCATTAAATAATCACCATTTTTTTTGGCAATCATACCTACGTTAAACTATAATATCACAATTGCATGTGCAAATTAGTCGATCATCAAAAGCATAAAGTTTAAAAATGCTCAGGGGACATAAATGATTCAATTCTAATATATTTTTTTGATAAAAAAAATTTGATGGTAAATAAATTATTCAATCTCTCAAATCAAGATAAAATGTGTTGTATCTGATAACGTAAGACAGGTGATTGCAAGTCATACATTCAAAATAATCATAACAAGTGCCCACCAACCGAATTCAAATTCAATATATTTTCGTTAAGAAAGACGAATTTTAATCGATTAAATCAATCATTTATTAATTTCAATTCTAATATTATATATTAAAAAGATTGACAATGATATTGCACTTATCTCATACATTCATTTTATACACATTTTTTTATTTTAACAACTTAAGTGAAAAGTATTACATTTTTTAAATTATAATAAAATTTGAAAGCTTATCTGTGATGTGAAATGAATGTATATATTCTTTTTTTTTTTTTAAAGACAGTTGCTTTATTTCGAAATATATGCTTGTTCATTATTTAAATGTGGATGCTTTTTGATTTAAAATTATAAAAAATTTCTTTCTTCTTTTAAATTTTACTTTTTATTCATAATTTGAATGAGATTTTTCTAACATTAAGATATTTAAGAGATTTATTACTACATGCTTAAAACTCTTTGCTATTTCCATAAATTGACTTTTTGTCTATAATAATAATTTTAAAATGTATTTCATTTTGTTTGATAAATGTTATGATTTAGGAACAAATACATGAATAAAATTGTAGTTTAAATGGGATGCATGTTGGTGAAACTTCTGATAATTATGAGTTTAAAAGAATTTAAACATGTAATATTTTTTTGGGTGAATTAAAATAAATAAGAGTTGGAGGTTAAAAGTAAATTAAAAATTTTTAAAAATTACACATGTAATTGTTGTGTAATATGTATTATCATAAAGAGCCATGATGGTAGATAATAACTTTTAGAAACAATTAAAAAAAAAAGGATTAATTAACAACCAAAGTAAAAAAGTGAAATTAGAGGAAACAAAGCAATTTTGAGGGAAAATTTTAACCCAAATAGGAAAAGATTAAGAGCACAAGATTAGCAGTTGTATTCATGAAAAGGATGTGGATGAAAGATGCAAAGTAGTTGCTGTTAAGTAGGGGTTTGATGGAAACAACTTTAAGCAATTGGGGAACCCTAAAGCATAGATTCTTGATTCTTCCATCCAATTGAATTTTAATAATTTATTTTATTTGTTTTTTTCTTTTGGAAATTTTCAATAAATAGTTGGGCTGATTCTGGCCAACCGCTTTGGCTGTGGGGTCCACCATTGGCTAACCAACTTACCGCCAATAAACTATACCCCACAGGCTACAGCCTGCTGTCCGCTGTCCGCCCTTCGCCATTTCCTAGGTTTTTTGGAGCCTCAGTCTACAGGCCACTGTCCTACCATTCTTCTTAATTTTTCCCACTCTTTGCTTCTTTTTTTTTTTCATATATTTAAGAATATAAATTTTTAATAAAGGCGTGGGGTTTGGTGATATTAAACAACATCTATATCTGTACGATATAATAAATGTAATCCCCAAATTGGACTGTTCATTAAAAGTTCAATTTTGTATGAAGTGTTGCACATTAATTGGTTCCTCAATTTGTTTTTTCAAAATTTTTTTAGTTAAATCCTTTTGTTTCCAACCCTCTCTTTTTATTTATTTTCACTCGATGTAAGACAAAAATTACAAAAAAAATTAAAAATTGAGAAAAAACAACTTGATCAGACAACAAATAGTTCTTAGTTTTTTGTCTTTAATTTTTATTTTCATAAAAAAAAAGCCGCTTTGTTTTGGGTAAAAAAAATTTTTCCTTTTTGCTAGCCTAATGCAAACTTCTCAATCCAGTCCTTTACCAAAATTTTGTCTCTTTTTTTTTTATTTATTTAGAAGAGTAATTCACTTTCAGTAAAAATAGAATCCAAAATGTAATGAGATTAACTAAAAAGAAAAAAAAAAATCTTGAAGGAAAGGGAAAATAATTATTAGCAATGACATTAGGTTAATTTAAATGCTTAATTGAATCACACGTTTCTTTAATTGTAAAACTTGATTGGATTGAATTAAATAAGTTATAATACATAGATTGTAAGGTTTGCAATTAATTTGGTTTACGAATACTATTCATTGATTTTTTTTTATTATAAATTACATGAATCTAATTATTTATGAATTTAACTGTTAATGAACTTAATCATCCCTGAATTTATAGTATTCATGAACTTAGTTAATTGAGGATGAATACACTTTGTATTTAGTGTCATTTACATTTAATATTTTAAGTTTAAATTCATATATACTATTGAGTAGTAAAATAACCATGAACCGAACTTAAATTACATGAATCTAATTATTTAGAATTTAATTATTTATGAATATATGATACCCATGAACTTAATTAATCACAGATTAATGTATTTAATAATTAGTGTTATTTAAGTTTAACATATCTGTTAAATACTATAAATACATATGAATCAAATCCAAAAAATTATATTTTAGTTGTATTTTTTATGTTGTAAAAATATAAAGTATTTTTTTTTATTGTTAGAAATTAAGATTTATTTTTTAGTTTATACATCAGTATGGTTCCATTTTAATGAATTTATTGATTTATTCACTTGAGATATTATTTTATAAAATATTTATTATTTATTTATTATATTTAATAAAATTGTAACCTGAGCGAAGCCAAGTAATTTTCTAGTTAATAAAGATGTTAGTCTAATTTATTTTTATCTGAACAATTTAATTTGCATAATTATTCACGATTCTCCTTTTATGCTAGTAGTATTTTCATTTTTCAAGCTGAACTGTACAATTAATCATATCCCCCCTTAAAATACACCGTGTTTATTTGTAGTCCACTTTATTTCATAAATTTAAGGCAGTAAAACTTTTTTATTAAATGGAAGTTTTGTGACGTTTAAGATTGGCGGTTCAAATTATTTGGCCTAACAATTTCCTATAGTATTAAGATATGGTTGCATATATATATATATATATATATTATTACATATGCACACTACAGGAGGATAATAGGTATTTGGTGGTGATTTTTTTTTATATTTAATGATGTTTATAAATATTATTAAATGATTTACGATATTTATAAAAAATATTGTCATATTTTTCAATGTAGGTATAATCGATATTTTTAGTAAATTTTTTATAAACTCTGCCGTTAAATTTAGCGGCACTTCTAATGAAAAACATTATTTAATAATCAAATTTAATAGCATTTGTATATGAAAATACTATTAAATTTAATGATATTTATAACAAAAAAATACTGTTAAATTTGATCAATTAGTGATTTTTTTTACTATAAATATCGTTAAATTAATAAATTTTTTTTAATTTTTTCAATAATTACTACTATAATTAAATAAAAAAGTATTGAAATAAATAAGATGAATTAAAATTTATAATATTTAAATATATAAATTTTTTACTATATGCATATAATCATAAAATTTAATACAATAACGTTTAATAGCAGTAATACAATAATATTGTTTATGTATGTGACAAATTTTAAAAGCATACATGAAACATGTCTCAAATTGTAAATTTAATCCAAATTATATGCATGATACTGACTTAGAGATAACAAAATAATTTATATCAAGTTTCATCCACTTTGAATAATAATTTTTTTACTTGAAAATTAAAGCTGGGATAGGTCAAACAGATTTGTTCACGGACTGAACTACTTACTTAGCCAACGAGCTTAGTGCAATCTAAATTGAGTTGAACAAAGTATTTAAGCTCGAGCCCTTTTTAATCCAGATTTTTATTTAATCAATAAAATGGTTTTTATTTAATTTTAATTCTAAATATATTGAAACTATTAAACTATTCACATTTTAATAGATATATATATATATATTTTAAAAAATTCAGGCCTAACCAACCAAACTCCTGACAAGATATTTAGATGACCTATCAACCTGATGCACCGTCTAAAGACAAGTTTTTTATAGAAAATAATTAAATAATTTCAAGGACGGTGTTAGAATATGTAAAAATAATTAATTTTATTATTTATTTAATTTTAAAAATAATAAAATAATATATTTATATATAATTATGACATAACTTATATTAATTTTGTGTAAGAAAATTATGCTAAACTAAGACCGAACTAAAAGTATGCGATTATACTTCCTCAGTTTCATTTTATTTGTTCCTGTTTGATTTTTTTTCAAATTAAATTAAATTTCTTAGACACAAAATTCGAAAATTTTAGAACTTAAAATTTATATAATTATTAAAGTCAAGTCTTTTGATGAAAATTTAATAAAAAAACAAACATAATATAGAAAAGGAAAGAAAGTATATATATATTTTTATCGAAATCAAGTGCAAAAAAAAATAACATATGTCGGCCAATATGAAACTATTAAAGAATCGAACGGGAAACCAAAAAAAACGGCCCCCAGTTGTTATCATTGAAAAAACCAGCAGAGCTTTTCTTGTAATGTGGGGCGGAGGGCCCTACTTTTGACTAAATTTCTCGGAAGAAATGGTCAGACTAAGAAGTTGTGATCAATTGCTTGAATCCGTTACTTTTGCCTACTTCCAGTTCAAACCATTTGACACAGACAGGGACGGCGTCAACATATTTTTTTCAATGGGCCAAACTGAACATTGTTAATGTTCAAAAACAAAAAAAAAAGATTTATTACGGCTTCCAGAGATGTGTCGGTCCAATTGCATCTTTTAAAATATGATTTCTTTGATTTGTTTATGATAATTTATAATATAATTAAAATTTAAACTAATAAAATATATTGATAATATAACATTCAATCATATAAAAAAGTTTGAAAGGTATCCAAGTGTATATTAAATTTCTTTTTTTTTTAAATGGACTATTGTTAAAATGAATAAGGTCCAAACAAACAGAAAGTGCATACGGTAGTGCCCAAACATATTTTTAAACCATTGGAATTGAATTGGTGAGATTTTGAGTTAATTTAGTATTAAAATTGAAAATGACTTTTACATTTAAAATTTGTCTTTACTTTTTATTTAAAAGTAAAATATAAAGAGGTGTTTTTGCTATTCAACGCTAATTTTTATTATTTTATATATTTTTAATATATTTTAATTCATTATGATATTTTTAAAAATAATATTAAATAATTAAAATCTTTAAAATATATTTTTTAACCAAAAACTAAATTAATTAAATTTAAATCTAAGCAAATAGTTTTCGCTATAGATTTCACAAAATTTTTTCTCCAAAGGGGGGCAGTCACCTACGAAGGTCAATGCCCACTAAATCACGTGCTTTGAAAATTGCCTATGAACCCCAAACTACCAATTTGAAAACCTAAGACATCCAAATCTCGTTTAGCTAATCTAAACGGAAATGGGTCTACATCCACAACCAAACAAAATTTCTAGAATCACATTAACTATACCATAAAACACGTGATGAATCCCCAAAAATTTTGTCTTGTAATGAAATGGTGGCCTCTATTTTCAACACAAACACGCGTAAAACTAAGCTTGTTTTTTTTAAAATTTTTTCTTGTGAAAAAGATGGTTTTTTTGGAGAATCTAAAAATTTTGATGGGTCCTATGTCCTACCCTAAGGATAAAAGAGTTTTTTTTTTTTTTGGTTTACTTGGTAATTAAGGGAACAAAGAACATTGGGTTACCACTTATCCTTTCTCCACCATTTCGTCAACTAAAAAATTTTCTAATGTAGAATCATGGGGTTTGGTCAATTTAAAGTATTTTGAAGATAAGATGAACTTTTTGAAGTACTTCAACTTTCTTGCAATTCCTTTTAGAGACATTTCAATGGGAGTTCTCAAATTAAGCTAGGACACCTAACCTTTGTTTGTGCTCAAGGATTTATTTTATTGATCATGAAGTTTTTCCTTTTTGTATTAGGTCAAGGAAAACAAAAAAAAAATTATCAAATTAAAGAGAAAAAAATAGAAACATTTTTATATCCTAATTACATTCAATTTCAATCATCTTTATCATGAGTTTTGTTCATATGAATTACCTTAAATATCCATTTTAATATAACTTTTTTTAATATTACTTTGATTATTTACTCAATTAAAATGATGTTATTGTAATTAAATTTTAAGTTTTTGTGGTTTTATATTTAAATTATGATTTTTCATTTATTATTAATTAATTTTTGTTAGAGATTTAATATGATATTTAAATTTAAATTTTATTTTATGAAATTTATTTTATGCTTTTTTTTTTTTTATAATTTATCACATGATAGTTAGGTCTTGAAGTATGCTATAATTATGTTATCCAACATTTATTAAATTTTGAACTTCTTATGATCTTATTTCATATTGGATCCATCCGTCTAATGTTGATTTTAGATTTTTGCGCTTAATTTAAAAGAAAAGCAGAACAACGTTTTTAGAAAAATGTATATCAATTAGCCCCTAGTGTTGCTTAATGATAGTCTTTTTCATATGGATTACAGCTGGTCCATACAAAAAGATTAGGTTTTAAATTGCAAAATCTTATCTTATCAGTAGAGGCTCTAATTGAACCTGACACTTCAAATCATTAATATAGAGAATAAAGGGAATTGGTATTCAAACAGTATAGCCTAATTCTCCCATTATTTTTGTTGCCTTTTTCTTCTTTTCTTAACAAATTTACCAATTCCAACATGAATTGGAATTCAAAACTTTAATATGGAATATCAATTTGGAAACTTGAGCAACAGTTTAAATTTGATGCAAGTCTAAGATAATAGTTGTTTATTTCCATGAAGTTACAGTCAGCAAAATGGAAAATTGAACCATGAGAAATGGTAATGAAATCCATTTTGATCAACCTTCCTCCCATTCTAGAACAAACTTAACTTTCCAAATTCCAACTTTCCCCATTGAAACTAACAGGAGAGGCAAAAACTGAGAATGAGGCCCAGAGAAAAGTAATAAAAATAAACAAAAAAATAAAGAAGGTAAGGGATGATCAGCTCCCCAATTATTATATATATAAGCTTTTCCCTTAGAAAAGATGAAAAAGGATAAAGGTCCCCAAAATTTATGGCTGTAGACAAGTTAAAAAGGGTTGTAGAAATAATGGTTTTCCATGAGAGTTAATTATTAACTGAACAGCCCATGTGCTGCCAAAATGGGGGCAGAGTAATGATCGTTTTCCTTTTTTCTTTTTAATTACATTGTTCAATCGAGGTAGAGGAGAAAATTTTGAATGGACATTTTTTCTGGTCAAAACTCAAAAACAAGCTTTTTTTTTTTTTTTTTTGCAAAATGAAAAAGACACTTTCTAGGGATTCCGATAATTGAAACTGGGATGGGTGCTGTTGGCCTGTTGGGTGGTCTTAAATATGCAAATTGTTGAAGTTGTGGACTCTTTGGAATCCTTTTTCTTTTTTGTCCTTGAATGACATTATTCCATTTTTACAACTTTGATTTTTGTTTACATGAAAGCTTATTAAACTTGGGTTGCACTTCTAATTCTATAAAACCTGCCCTCATCATTCAAAGATTCGAACCTGAGATTTTAAGAGTTGAAAAACATGAAAGTGGCACCATGAGCATATTGTTTTTGGATTTAACTCATATAATCTTTGCCATTAATGCATTGAAATGTTCACTTAACATACAGGCAGCTTTTTCCATACCGAATTCAACCAACGCACCTTGTACCATAAAGGCGCCAAAGTATATTTCAAGGCCATATCACACCATCTTCAAACTCGCGTTTCATGTCTTGTTGATGAATAACAGTTTGCTTATTCTTGAAACTGGGCTTTTGGCCTACATGAGATTTTTTTCTCCGAAAACCTTAAACAAGAAATTGACTTGAAAATATTAACCTTCCACCCTTTTCCAACCCAAAAAGGGATTCATGGGAGAATGATTTACTCGGTTGAATTCTCTTTCCAGGGGAAAAGCCATAGGTAGCTCATGATTCATGAACTAATTTCAACACGTGAAAAGTAATAACTAAATGAGTAAAAGGAGTCTAAGTATTTGATCCAACGGCCTCAAAACCAGTTGCCGATATAAACATTGACTAAGCGACGATGTAGCATGAGACACCATATACTTGTAGTCTGAATCAAATTCACAACTATTAACCATAAGAGCAAAAAGGAAAGCAAAATGTAACATACTACTTCTATAATGAGAGCTCAAACACCGAGTTAATAATCAATAATTACCAAGAAAAGATGCCAAAATGGCCAAAGCACCAATAATAATCATTATATTGAAAAGTAGTTGGTTTGATAGAGGCTTATCGGTGCTTCCGCCAAATGCTTCATATTCTGCTTGAATCTTCTGCTTCACAGAATCTGAAAGCGCTCTGCAATTCAAAACACTCTGTTGAATTTTATTCTTTCCGCTTCATTTTAGACTTCCAAGTTTAAAATGCGAGGTTGTATTTATTAATAAGCCACGGCACAACAAAAACAAGAAAATTGATTTTTTTAATCCTGCAATAAATCATGGAAAAAAGACAAGATGAACAGTTTGCACATGTATAATCTCCTTCGGAAGAGTTCTTGCAAAGAAATGCAATGAATTTTATAAATCACCAGCTATAAAGAAAATGAAATAAGTTATTCATGGTTACAACCTTTTCTGTGGAGTACTTGGCAGCCGCAAACTTCTAAGGTGCAGCTTGTGTGGGACCATCATCTAACACAATACCCTGATCATCAAATTTAGCAAATCAAATAAATTTCAGGTCCTTAAAGAAACTTTCTTATATTATTCTTATAATCTCACTTAATAACAGAAATTTTTTTTAGAAATTTATATAAAAGAAACATAAAAGTTGCATGCCTATCTCTATAAATGCAACTATAAAGCTACACCAGAAACCAAAAGATAAAAGCAACTTCATGAAACTAAACTTGGGAATTACTAGTCAAACCAAAAAATTGAAGTTTTTAAGTTCCATAAACATGAGCAATTTAGAATATTTCAACAACATTAGAATTTGAACAGAAAAGAACCCTATCACTTTTCTTTTGCTTCTGCTACTGTATCATTGATCCATCCAGAGATGAGAAAATTCTTCTCGGAACCTAATATTCATGAAAAACTTAGGTATGTTTAACAAGCAACTCAGTTAATGAGAATCTTCCCAAATGTAAAAAAACAACACCATTTTAATAAAAAGAAAAGTGGGGTTAATAGTTAAGAAATTTTTACTAATTAAACTTTTCTTGTTCATGAAAACAATAAAAGTGCAACCATCCATCACATACAAACCTCTGGAGGGTCAAATTTGGCCCCAAGGTTGCTAAGTTTGGCATGGGCCTCTGCATAATCCTTGAAGAATGTCTCTTGATCTTCAGCATATTTCTCAGCATATACCTGCAAATAGAGTAATGCTTAGCCAAAACTGAGATTATATTTTCTTACTGGCTTAAATTGAACTTAATTTATTTACCATGAAAGAAGGATCTTCAAAAAGAACAGCATCAGTTGGCAACACAAGCAGATCTTCATCTCTTTTTGCTTTAATGTCCTGTATGGATAAAAGAGAATCAGACACTTTTACATCTTCTTTTACTTGAGAAGAGAAATTGATTTCAATTTCAAACCTTGAAGTATGAATTGTCAAACTTCAACCATTGCACCGTCCAGGACTGTCCACCTGGTGCTCCTGGTCCATCTTTCTGTCATTCAAGAAAGAAAATCCAATTTAAATCCTTAATCACTGTTAGTGGTATGACCATAGCTACTAGAACCACCACCATTCATTTTCTACTCGAGGAAACAGATCTTTCTGGTAATTATGAAGACATTAATGATACCACTGGCACAGCAACCACGAACAAGTAGTTTACTAAAATTCAACAAAACATGAAATAAAAGCACCTGACAATAAATTATATTCAGGAAAACAAATCAATATGCTTTATGGAAGATATTGACAAAAAGAACTAGAGATAACAATTTCCAAGTTTTGACAGTGTAACTCAGGCTCGCATGTTGCATCTTAAGGTAATACCCCATAAGTACAATGGGATAACGATATGAGGATATGCCCAAATTCATTTTGTTTGGAGCACTTTCAGCCACTGATTTTTTATTCTTCTGAGGTTTCAGTGTAATGATCAGCTTTGAAAGTAAGTTCAAATTTCTTTCTCCTGGCTCACCTTTAGAAAGTCCGTTAGTGGATGGTAAGCAAAAACTTCAAAATAAATTTTTAAGGGTAATCTTAGAGGAAAGAACAGCCATGATAGCCATATGGTTAAGCATGAAAGACAACCAAGATAGCAAAAGTAGAAGTTGTTGATATTGGCCACACTAACCTAATACAGGTCCATTGGAAACAGGACAGCTTAAACCTAAAAGGAACAAATTGGGGTTTCTTTCACATACTTTCTTTTCTCATGAACGATTGCTCTCATGTATTCATTACTGATCACATGCATTGATAGGTATCCCATCAAGAACTTCAAGAGGTTGATAGGCCAAGTAAGCAGCTCTTTAGAGGTGATCCCCTTGTGTTTATCCTATTGATACCAAGTGCATCCAGCATAGGCGGAGTGCTTCTCCGAGGAACAGTAATTTGCTAAATAAATGGCACTTTGTATCTTCTATGGTAAGTATAACAGACTATAATGCTATGCATTTGCTACAAAAGCTCTAGCCTCAATCAAGAGTTGGATATGACAAATATCAAACTTAAGTTACTCAGACAAACAGATTTTTCCTATTTGTATCAAAACAGGCTGCTTAAATACCGTGTACTTGGTTTCTGGTTTACCCCAACCGCTACGTTCTGGTCTGGACCTCCCAAGTGTATGTGCACCAGATAATGCAACTATTTCCTACATATCAAAGGCAGATGATTAATATCATTTTGTACCATGATAAAGGCAATTACCAAGGATATTGTATGTTTACCTTGTCATTTAATCCCATTCGGTAAAAAACCTCTCGTAGATGTTCAGCAGGTGAAGGGGGTCCAGCAGCTAAGCAACAGTGAAATGCTATACAAGTTAGTGGTCTCTAAACATAAGTAGAAGCCAATATATCATTACCTTTGAGGGAAAAAGGAGGCAAACAAACCCAAATTCCATGGAGATAGGCTAATAGATCTAAGTTCTAAACAACCTAAAACTATGAAATCTGACAATGTAAGGCATCTAATAATCAACAGCTGACAATTAGCTACGTACTTCAGAACCACCAAATTTTGAGAAAGATAAGAATTTAAAAGCTCATTATTTACAAAAGTCTGCAACATAAAATTGTATTAATACTATTCTAGGTGAATAAGTGACCAAATGCCATATAATGGCAGATAAAACAACGTCAACCTGTTTTTGTTTAAGAAACTAGAATTACTCTTTTGAAAATCCTAAAGATCCCAATATTCTTATTTAATCTATAACAGTGCCGCTTGAAGTATATGCTCTATTTGTTGATTATAGAACGCCTAGGGGTACCTTTTTTTTTTTTTTGACAGAAATGCAATGAACTGCCCAGAAATCAAGAATTAGATGGACTAAAATATGACATGCTCAATACATGGTCTAACCATTCAAGGAGCAGCATCCCAGCTCCATCCATGGAATAGGTGCCTCCCGTTTCCAGTTACATTTCTTAATTTAGGAAATCAGACGCACCACAATCTTCCCACAAGTCACATTAACAAGAACAAATCATGCACCAATATAACATTCACTTACCAGGTAGCCTGCCCTCTTCAGGACACTCACTAGGACCAGAGACGTCCACTCTTCCATATTTCATGGGAATTTTGGGTCCCCCAGCCTCCTGAAATTTTAATTTCATTCTCAGCACAACAACAATAATCAATCAATGCAGAAATATTCATCGAAGAGTAATAGAAAGGATGACCTCAATAGCAGTAGCACTAGCCAACTGGAACAAATCTGCATAAGTAACACCAGAGTACTTGTCCTTGACAGTTTGAATAAGATTCAATGCATTCACAAGACCTGAAAGCAAACTTATGACACAACAGTGCTACCAAGTACCAACTAAGCTGATTACATTTTATAAGTAGAAAAGAATATGTTACCAGCATTGGCTGCATGTTTCAGCTCAACTTCGAACCTAAGACTTCCATTCGCTCCACCCCTTTGTGGCCATTCCTCAATGTTCTTGTTGTAGGTACCAGCGTCGTGCCATCCTAGACGAACCTGTTGTGCATACATAAAATTAAACTTGCTTTTTGTTTTTTTCTCAAGTCCAGAAAAAAACTATTTTCTGTCGTTTGGTAGGAATAAAATAGGAAGAGAAAGAGGAAAATGGGTGAAATTTGTTAAAGGAAAACACTGCTTTAACAAATATTAAGACGATTTTACCCTCAACAAAAACTGAGGTTCAAATATGAAATACTAGTAAATCTCAGTAAAATCAAATATTTATTCAGAACAAACCAGGAATATTATCATTTTTCTTTTTTTGCTGAAAGTTCAAAGAAGATTTACTCAACATGAAACAAAGTGAAGCAATAGGGCCAAAAAAAAAAAGGTTTAATACCAGGATAGGATGGCAGAACTTAGATTTGAGAAGCTCCTTGATATCTTCTCTAGCACTCTTCAACTGATCAGGATCCGAAGCTGCGCATTTTGGACTTGCTACAGTGCTGAATCCTCCGCTATTCGACACATTAACAGCCGATCTCTATTTTATCAATAAAACAAAATTAATTAAAAAAAAGTAGTAAATTTTATATCAAAAAGGAGAAAAAGAAAGAAAAAAGAGGAACCTGGTAGCGAGAGAAATAAGAAGAGCGAGGAGAGAATGCAAGGGATTTGAGAGAGGAAGAGAAAGAAAGGAGAGAAGGAGAAGAGGAGCGGAGAGAGAGCCGAGCAGTGGAGGAAGAGGAAGAAGCGAAGATTCTAGAGGAGGCGGCGGCGCTTAGAGATAAAGCCATTGGCTTGGGCTGCGATAGAGATTGTGAAGGGGGAGTAGGAGCAGGAGCGTTTAGTAATAGTGTCAGCCGTGATACTTGCTCTGCCATTAGGCTCTCTGTCTCCAATATTTTTGGGCCAATCCAATGGCAAACACACGCCTACTAAAAGTTTTTGTTATTGGAAATGCTTTAGGTCTTGGCTCTATCATACGTCGAACAGCGACATTATTTGAATTGGAAATGGAACGGACTAGATCACACTTGTAACCAATAGGTAATTGACAGTAGCAAAATTGCATTTGACAATCAAATTTTTTTTTTGGTCTTTTACACATTGTATCGTTAGTGGTGTTTGGTGAGATTTATTCATTATTTTATATATACACATAAACAAATATACATACATATATATGACACAATAAATTAGTGTATAGTAATCGGATTATTATTAATATTTTTTTAATGAGTTTTATAACTTAAAAATAAAAAAATTATTTTAAATTAAATTTATTAAATATTATCTCTTAAAAATAATAATCATATCCAATATACAAATCAAATGTTATTTAAAATTTGAATCAATTGACTTTCAACATCCGAATCAATCTAATATATGATTCCGTTCACACCCTACAGTACTTTCCTACTCCAACTTCTAGGAAAATTACACAAGGTCGCCTATGAATTGGGCTGATAGGAATCAACTATGTCAAAGAGAAATTATTTGATATGTTAATAGTAAATTTTTTTTAATTTTATAAGTGAAATTAAGATGATGATAAATATTTTTTATATTTTTAAAAAAATTAATTTTAAAAAATAAAATATGTGTCAAAGTTAAAAAATTTTACTATAAGTATATTTGATAATTTGTTTTGATATATAATTTTGAAAGATCAACTAATAATAAATAATATATTTTATTTTTTAAGGTGTATTTTATCATATTTATAATATATATATATAGATATATGCAAACTACAAATTAATAAAAATATGATAAATTCTTAAAATTATAAAACAAAAATATTATTATGACAACATTATACTTTTAACAATAAGATGAATTACAATTAACCATTAAATTATTAATTACACAATCTATCAATGAATTATAGAAAATTGTTTATTTTTTTGACAATATGAAATTAAAATAAAAAATATAGATAAATCAATATATTTAAACATTTTATAAAAAAATTAAATATTTTTTCAAAAGAATGAAGATAAAATTTTGAAATTAGAAGCTTGGTGTTTTCTATTTTTTTGTAAAATAATTGTAATATGATTTTTTTTATTGAAAAAAGAATACAATAACATGTGATAGAGATTTAAAGTAAAAATAAAAGTAAAAAAATATATGAAAAAAATAGTTGTAGTATGTTAAATCTCCCCTTTTTCTTCTTTAAATTTCCAAAACTTTGACCTATCGTACAAAAAAAAAAAGATAAACACATTTGGTACTTAGTTGAAAACTTGAATCTTGTGCAGAAAATGGAAAAATTAATTTAATTTTAATTAAGTTCATTTAATTGTAATTTAAAATTTGTGTCAAATATCTTGATTTAAAAATTTATAAATAATAATAATTGGATATGATAAATAAAAAAATATCAAAATGATTTAAATATTTTTAAATTACAATACACAAAATTAATTTATAAAACATAAAAAGTTATAAAATTAATATTTTTAATTTACATGAGATTAGGGTTTCGAAATTTTGGGAGGCCAAGCCCTTCAGGCCACCTATACCAACCGTCCCTCGACTAAGGGCAACGTTTGCTGTGTATATATAGGAAAAGAATGGCTTACCTTTGATTTAGGACACGAAACCTTTATTTTGAAAAGGCCCATTTCAAAGCCGCTGAACTAATATACAAAAGCCAATCATTTGTGGGAATATGAGAGAATCGAGGGGTGGCTGCCACCAGCAGGTACTGCTGTTTATAGATTCGATCAGCTTGAATTTAAGCATGATATCTGTTCAAGTTTTGTCTAATTTGATAATTCGGACTTTAAATTTTACTTAAATCCGTTTAGATTTGTTAATATATAGTCTAAATCTATGTAGATTATTTTTCTTAAAAAATTAAATAATAAAATAATTATTTTTATTTATACTTTAATGATTTCATTTTGTTCGTTATGTTTTAAAATATAAAAATTTAACATAACTTTTAATATTTTACTGTGTAATAATATATTTTTATATGATATAATTACATAAAATATAAAAATAATAAATTATATAATTAAAATCGGATCGAGTTAAGTTAGGTTGGATCATAAATGTTGGATCAAGGCCTATTTCATTTTTTTAAAATGTGCCAATTTTTTTTGTCCAAATCCAATTTCTAGGCTTTATTTTTTCTCAAATTCTCAGAAATATTGGACCAACCTTTAAAATTGGATGAGTCATTCCTCTTTTGGAAGATCTAATATGTTTTTCAATGAAAAAAGAATCAAAATCTATAAAAAATTTAGCTTTAAAAGGGTTAGAATCCAGATTAGTTCAAGAGTTCAATACCATCGACACAGAAAATATATTATTGTGTTAAGGGTTTTGGAAGGATACATTCTAGTAGTATCACATTTCACCCCTTACGTTCCCTTTGTTCCTTTTTAACAATTAGCAATGATATGTAAAACAAATTCTGGACTCCTACAGAAACTAGACACATTCATCAACAAGAACCCCGTAAAATAGTAACAGCAGCAGCTCGTTGTTCTTCTGGAAGCTCTTTTGGAAAGTTAATCAGGAACAAAACTTTCAAGTTTCCTCTGCTTCCCTGTTCTTTTGTGCTTGGCATACCGTGGCCCGGGATTATCCTTTGGTAGCCAGGGTGAACGATTTCATCTAATTTCAATTTCATCTTCTCCCCACCCAGTAAAGGGATGGGAAGGCTGCCACCCGTCAGAGCTTTTACTAGAGGAATTTCTATTGTCAGCTCCAAATCATCATCATCTCTTCTAAACAAGTTATGTCGTTTCTCAGCAATCATAAAAGTTACATCAGCTGCATAAGATCCTGGTCTCTCATTTCCCATTCCTTCAAATGTAATCTTTGTTCCTTTCTTCCATCCTGGCTTCACTTTTATAGATAGAATCTCCTCCTCTTGAGCTATTTGCCTGCCAATATAACAAACATCATTTCAGGTTTTAGCAGACATTGCAACTCTGAAATCACAGAGAATATCAAGAGATTAATGTTTATGATTACGAACCCGGATTCTGTGAGAACGTCTCTTGTGATCTTTATCTTCTTCATACACCCATAGCATAACTCTTCAAGAGTGCATTCAAGTTGTCTCTCAATAGGTGGAGGTTTCACCATCCCTGTTGAGTTTGAAAACATGATTGGATTACCATTATTCCAGCGGCTTGAGCTTCTTGACAGGGTCTCGGGATAGCCATTTCTATCTGTGCTTCTTAGGCTTCCATTCCTACATACAAAGGATGGCCTTGGGCTGGGGCTAGGGCTCCTCTTGCTTGGAGTTGAAATGGAAGAAGGGACGGAAGAAAAGAAAGTGTCCATGCTTCGATTATTGAAACAACCTTCAGAACTCGTAGGAATATCCCCTCGCAATCCATCTTCATTGTATCTATAGCTGCGAACTCGATACATGTTTCCTTTATCTTGATTCTCGTTTCCGGGGCCCTAGATATCATGAAAATCCTCTCACGTTTCCAAGCCAAATGATAATTTTTTTTTTTTTGGACGTAGTAACATCATTGACTAAAGACAATTTCAAAATATTTGGCGTTAATGTTGCACGCACGGAAATAAATTAGACATACCTGGCAAGGTTCCTCGACGGTTTGGGGTTCAAAATGAACTTCGTTTGAGGAAGATTTCTTATGACGACGCCATGCTCGTAATGTAAACAAAGATGTGTAAAGTTTAGTAAGGTCTCGAAGGCTGAAACCTTTCTTCTTTTGGTTAGAACTGGAGACACATTGTTGGTTCAAATGATCTACCATGAGAAAGAAAGGGCGGAAGCAATAAGGAATAGACGAAGAACAAGAAGAGGGAGGAGGACATAGACTTACCATATCCACCAGAAATAGCATAGTTGAAAGCCAAATATTAATTGGGGTGTTTTCTAATGTCTTTTATTAGCACATGCCGTTACCAAGAGATAAGGAGCCTATATTTTAATTTTTCTCTCTCCCTTTTTTTTTTTTTTTTCTAAGGTTCATCCTTTGGCCATATAGTCAAACAATCAGCAAGAAATAACAACAATAACATACCCGAAATTGTCTTAGTCAAAGACAACCAAATTGGATTTTACTCGATGAAAATAGTATATAATGTTTATTTTCTCAAAAAAAAAAAAAATTGAATACAATTCGGGTGAAAACTATAATATTGCCATAATTTAATTATAATGCGATCTTTAATAGTACGTGATCTTAGTAATGAAATAAGTTACGATTAAGAATTACATGATTTGCAAGATAAACATTCATTTTAATGGATAATGAGATTAGTTATGAAGAGATTAAAGACAACGGTGATTGTGAGATTAATTATTATAATAATAAGATTCGATATTATAACAGTAAGAATAAAATTAATGGTAAGATATATATTCAAAATGACAATGAGGTAAAACATAGTGAGAATAAAGAATGACCATTAAGGATATGTTTAATATATAAGATTATAATAGAATAAGATAAGATGATATTATAAATAGGATTAAATTAAATAATATCATTCCATCTTACATTTGATGTATATAAGGATTATGACATGATAATTTATTTATTAGTCAAAATTATTTTCTTCAAAATTTATATAATTTAAATTATTGATATGCATGCTTGAGAACTTGGTTTCTTCCATTCGCACATATAATCAATAAAGAATGGGCATATCAATGATTTATGCATGCTAATTCGAGCTTGAATACCCTATAGAACTTTATCATTGACAATGTCATTAGATGATTGATAAATCTAATAATATCTAATCTTTCGGCCATCAGTCTTTATTGTCGGATTTGTCAATCTATTGATTATATTTTTCAATGACTCAAAGATTAGAGATCTTAATTTTTTCGTTAACAAGAGTTTATAATTAAATTTATATTTTTTTAAAAATTTTTTTATGTAGTTCCAAAATGAAAATTTAAGAGTACATGATGACTTTCGAAAATCTATATATGAAAAGCAACATAATTCTTGGAAATGGATTTTTCGAGAAATATGTTTTATTTTCGATAATTTATTTCTAAGAGTTATATTACTTTCTCAGGAATGGATTTTTGAGAACAGAATATAACTCTTGGAAATCAATTTCCAAGAAATAAGAGATGAATTTTTGGTGTATGAGTTATTAAGGGTATTTTTGTCATTTACTAAATATTAAAATTAGTATGTGGTATGTGAGTATTTTTGGAAAAAAAATTGAGGGTGTATAACAAAAATTTGGTGGTGTATTTAGAATACCCCTTAAAAATAAGCATTTTTACTTTTGAAAGAATTGACTCATCTTACATCAAGAGGATGATCAATCCTCCTTATAATCTTATCTTTTTCTTTAGATACAAACTAAATATAATATAAGATAATTATCATCTTATCCAATCCATCATCCTAGACACCAAATATAACCTAAGGATGTGTTTGGTACATAAGATTATAATATAATAGGATAAAATGATATTATGAATGAAATTAGATTAAATAATATTATTCTATCTTATCTTTGATGTGTGCAAAGATTATGATAGCATAATTTATTTAGTGGTCAAAATTATCATTTTTCAAAGTTTATACAATTTACATTATTAATGTAATTTTTAAGGGTATAATATGAAATGTAAATTCAATTTCATTGATTAAAAATAATCCTCTTTACTTTAAAAAAAATTGAATCATCCTAAACTAAAAAGATGTTAGTCCTCTTTATAATCATATCTTTTTTTTAGATACAAACTAAATATAATATATAAGTTAATTATCATTCTATCATATCCATCATCCTATGCACCAAACATGATTTAAGGGTGTTAGATTAAAATTTATGAAATTTATAATATATATTTGATATTTTTCAAATTAATAAATTATTAAAAATTATTAAAATTATTTATATTTTTAATATATTTGACCAATATTATTTTTTAATGTCGTTATCCCTTCTAGTAAAATAAGTGAACTACAAGATTATAAGTGAGAAAAAATTTTCACAAAAGATGGAAGTGAAAAAGTTGCAAATTACAATAAATGTATGTAAAATTTACCCTTAAATTTTTATTTAATAAAAATAAAAAATCTCAAAATAAAAAAATAAGAGGGATAAAAGGATGCGCAAGCAGTGTAGTATTATCAAAATAGAATTTATTATTTATCACCTAATTAATTAATTTTTAAAATATTTATATTTTTTAAGTATTTTTGTTGATCCAACAATTGAATTAGTAAACCCTAAGATTAAACCATTAATTCGATGATCTATTACTTTAGATGATTTATTGTCTAATTCAATTTTGATAACTATGGTAGGTAATTAGTGTTTGTGTACTGGTATGGAATATAAGAGAAAAGATCCTCCTAACTATTTACAAAGCAATAAAAGTTTCCATTACTTTTATTTTTGTATAGAAATTTTCACTATTTTACTTAAATATAAATAATACACTTTCACATAAATTTATGATTGATATTTGTTCAAATTATTTATTAATTTTTATTAATTTTATATTCAATTTAAAATCATTGAATATCAACCATAAACCTAAGTGAAAGTGAAAATAAATTATTCAGATTTATTTAAAATTTATTTTATTCCACAAGGTTGATTCTTGTAAGATTTGATCTCCAACACTTACAAATTTATCTTCTTTAATTTTCTTTGGATTTTACGTTTTTTGTATAAAAAAATTTAGGAAGATTAATGATGAATTTTGACATATATTCAATAACTCTTTGAATTTAAATCCAAATAACTCATAAAGCCATTGGTTGTTCAGCAATATAAATAATTGTTTTAATTATCTATCTATTTATTAGTTTTTCTATTCAATTTGGGGAAGGGAATTTGAGTTGAAGAATGCATGCACCATTCCCCCCCCCCCCCCTTCTTTTTTTTTTCGATCCCTACCATTTTCAATTTCAATTTCAATTTCCTTTTGCTCACTCTCGTATTAACTTTTCAATTAAAAGAAAGGTTTGGTGCAATGATAGAGGCCGATTGAGGGCTTTTAGTCTCGTAAAACAAGTGTGAATGGATGAATTATTGGTTTCATTTTGTCAACGATTCACGTTTTATTTATGACGATGGAATTTCTTCGAAGTAGCACTTGTGGCCCTTCTACTTATACTTTTCTAGAAGATTTTTCTTTTTTTTTTTTTAATTTTATTCCTTGCAATAAAAACTTTATTTTCAAATACCATCTCTAATTTTCCACAAAATAAGGGAGAAAATGGTTTGTTGCTTTCTTGGTTTAGGTATTGGTTCTTTCATTTAGATTAGCTATGATCCGACTCATGTAACACTTTTATTACAAAGAAAAAATGTTAAAAAATATAAAAAAATTATCATCTCAAAATCTAATTATTTTTATAAAAAAAATATAATTGTCCCAATAAAAAATACACAATTTTGTAAAGAAATAATCGATAGGTGACACTTAATAATGAATTAACATTTTTAGAATTTGATATTGTTAGGATTTGATAAACATGTATTTATAACATCATTAAATAGCAACTGTTTAAAATTTTAAAAAAAAAAACCGTTAACAATAGTTTGATTTATTGATAAAATAATAATAATTGAAATTTAAATTTTTGATAAATTTAAATATAAAAAATATAAAAAAAAAATAAGAATTGTTTAAAACCATGTGGAAGGAGTCTTAAGATTTTAAAAGAAGGAAAACTCTTGGCTAAACTATACTAATAGAAATCATTGATTCTACATTTAATTACATTTGCCAAATTATAATTGATCTCAAAATCAGAATTGTAGTGTATCAAGTCAACTCTCAAAGTCCTTGGCCAAGCTCCTTCGTCCCAAAGACTTTAATGTATAAAATTTTAAAATAAAAAAAGACCTTACAGAACATCTGACCATATCCATGATCCCACCATCCTACATATTTCAACTTCATCTTCAATTTTTCAAAAAATAAAACCAAAAAAAAATCCAAAACCCAAATTTGCCCCTACCTAAACCCCATGCGCATAATCTTTTCAATGGCAAATTTGACCATTTTATTTCGCGATCTGCTCATAATTTCTTTTTCCGCGTCCAAGAACGCGTAACCAGTGAAACTGAAACGAAACTACCCGATAATAAAATGATTCCGAACCCTATCTCAAACTTTTCTACTAAGTAAACTTAAAAAAAATAAATTATTTATAAAAAAATATTGAAAAGAGCGCGCCTTTAAATATTGCAAGAACGAGGCTTGGTCACAACCAAGAAATCACCTCGACACCTTCCTCAGAGGCTTTTTTTTTTTTTTCGTTTTCAGCGAAAAAGAAATGGTCTTTTAACTACCCGTTTTGGCCTCTGATTCCAAAAAATCCTCTTTTTTGTTTAATTTTTTGCGATAGATTTCTTTTTATTCTTTTTGGTTATTTTTTTGTTTTGATCCAAAGTAGAGATGGCTGATCAGAAAATGAAAGGAGGAACAGTGTCGATCATGGTGTTGATCTTTCTGGTTCTCTCTGCAACTTTCCATGGCTGTTTTGCAGCAATCGGTCAAGTTCAACCACCTAGGAAGAGAAATACGGTGGTTAATGGTTTTGGCTCCTCTGTTTTTCTTACTGTTTCTGGCAATGTCTATCCTCTCGGGTACTTCTTCTTTATTTTTTTAATTTATTGTCACGTTTTATGTTCTTTTGAAACTTTCGTTTTCTTTAGTTTCATGGCTTTTTGCTAATAAATTTGTTTGTTTTGTTTGATAGTTTGTTTGTTTTTCTATGTGCTGCTTTTCCCTGAATTTGTTGATAACATTTCTTGAATCTTTTTCTTTTAATTCCCCAAAATTCCCCCTCTGATCTCCACTTTATCACTATAATTAATTTCATGGGTTTGTAGTTCTTTTGCAATTTGATTGTTCAGCATAATTTGACTTGGTTTTGCCTCTCTTTATTTCTCTATATAAGAGAATAAATACTGAAATTCATGGAATTCCTGTTTCTATCAATGTCAGGTACTATTCTGTGACAGTTGGGATAGGCAATCCACCTAAGCCTTTTCAGCTTGATATTGATACTGGCAGTGACCTCACTTGGGTTCAATGTGATGCTCCTTGTACTGGTTGTTCTCTGGTAAAATTTCTTCACTCCAATATGATCATAGCATTCTAATGATTTGTAAGAAAAAAATAAATAAAACACTGCTAGGTTCTTATGATGGTTTTTATCTTTATTTTTTGCAGCCTCGTGACCAACTTTACAAGCCCGTTAAGAACAACTTTCTGGCTTGCAAGGATCCCATATGTGCTGCACTTCACTCAAAAGCACATCAATGCACGAACCCAAATGAAAAATGTGGTTTTCAAGTTGATTATGCTGATCATGGTTCAGTTCTTGGTGCCATGCTCTCAGACAACTTTCCCTTACGCCTTGTCAATAACTCCCTTTCTTCTCCCCTTTTGGCCTTTGGGTGGGTATTTCCAACTCTTCATCTGAATTTACAACCTTTGAATTTTGGAAGTGATTTCAACCATATGAATAACTCATGTCAATTTTGATCAAATTGAAAACGCCCTGTTTTTGAAGTAAATTGTTGAAATTTGTGCAGTTGTGTATCGTGTTTATATGATAAACACGATAACTAATGATATTATGTTTTTCCTCATCTGCAGGTGTGGATATCGTCTACAAAGTCGCAGTCCACACCCTCCTACCACTGCCGGAGTCCTTGGACTTGGTAAAAGTAAAGCAAGCATTTCATCACAGTTGAGTGGCATGCGTATAACAAAAAATGTGGTAGGTCATTGTCTCAGCGGACAAGGAGGGTTTTTGTTCCTTGGAGCTGATTTTGTCCCTAAATCAGGAATGACTTGGACACCAATGTTGCAAAATTCCTTTGAGTAAGCACGATTAATATCTTCTCTTTTCTTCTTTAATAATTTCATGTTACCTCTAACATATGTTTCTTTCTTGTTGATTTCATTTCAGTAAACATTATTCTTCAGGTCCAGCAGAACTTCTTTTTGGTGGGAAGCCCACTGGTGTAAAGGGCCTTGATGTCATCTTTGACAGTGGAGCCACCTACACTTATTTGACCTCTAAAGTTTACCAAACTGTACTTAATCTGGTGAGACAGAAGCAAACATCAATGCACAAGACCTTATGAGTGCAATCACATTACTGGATCTGATTGCTTGCTTCGTTTTTCAGGTAAGGAAAGATCTAAGTGGAAAGCAACTACAAGATGTGAAAGATAAAGCTCTTCCAATCTGCTGGAAAGGTGCAAAAAGTTTTAAATCTGTGACAGAAGCTAGGAAATATTTCAACACCTTTGCGCTGAGTTTTAATGGCGCGAGTAACACTCATCTACTACTACCACCTGAAGCTTATCTCATTGTCACAGTAAGCACCTCTGCAAACCTTCTGCAAAGACTCAAAACAAGTGCAGTTCTATGAAGTAAGATATTAGATAGAACTTAGAAGCAATTAGAGAATTCAACGTAACATGCTCATCCTTCTCAGGAACTTGGAAATGTTTGCCTTGGAATTTTGAATGGCACTGAAGCAGGACTAGGGACTGGCAATGTAATTGGAGGTAAGAGCTTTCTAGTAGAGCAAAGAGCTTGATCAGTTAATTTTCTTCTAGTTTGTTCCCCTTTAGTTGGAATCTAACTTTGCCTTCTTGTTTGCTGTTCAGACATTTCATTGCAAAACAAACTGATGATATATGATAATGAGAACCAGAGGATTGGATGGGCTTCTGCAGATTGTACTCGCAAGCTTCGCTGATTGTGAATCTTGTCTTGTAACATGCAATAGGAAGCTTATATGTAAAACTAAATAAAATGAGTGAATAACATAAATGGTAGAAAATAGCTTCATTCTTTGACAGAGGGTGGATTTTTGTGTAGTATAGAAGGTTCATTACCATGATTCTTCTGTTTGATTATATACAAGGTTGAAAAGGTAAAAGAGTAACTGTTATGGGAAATATATGATGGATGGAGGCAATACACATGGCTTTTACAGAACACATTCACAATGTCCTTTGATATGATATGTTTTGTGCAGCACAACCAGCTTTGAAAATTACCATATCCAAGAAAGATTCATCCTTTTTTTTTTTTCCCCAGTGATAGATGTTGACATATTTGAAGAATAAACGCCAGGAATATTCAGCTAAAATTACAGCATGAAGCATAGTTTATTGTCTTGGTGAGCACTTAAGCCACGATTTTCCAGCAATATGAAACAAGCAAGCAGTAGAGTGTTAATTAAAAGTTTAAAATTATATATATACTAGTTTTCTTTCACGTGCATAGCACGTAATTATTAATCAAATTATAATTCTAATATAATAAAATAATTTTATTACTTTTATAGTAATAAAATTCAAATAACTATCATCATACTAAATTAAATTGAAAATATAAATTTAAGTTTGAAAAAAATAAATATAACAAAAAATTTTAATTAAAATTTCGATAAAAAATAAATATTTAATCTTTCTCTATTTTGACTTTTTTTAAGTCTTTGTGTTTTTAGATCATCATCTTCATTCATTTTTTATATATATTTCTTTCTTTTTAAATTTTCCAAAAGATTATCTTTTACCACAATCAAATTCGATTTTGTACTTTCCTTTCTTTTTTATTTTATGTTTTTTCTAGAGCTTTTTTTAAAAACTTTTTTGGTAATAAATTTTTATTTTCAATTTTATAAATTTTTTAGGCAATCAATTATTGTTGAACTCATTTAAACTCTTGCTTTTCATCTATTTGCTATTTAAAATTTAAATTCTTTATTTTGATTTGAAATATTTTGTTATAAAGTTTTTGTTGCTTGAAATAAAGTAAATATATGATGTTTTCTTTTTTATGATCACTTACCTCTAATTTTGATATGCACATAATTATGTCATATAAATCATTTTGTAGTTTAATTTTATAGTAAAAAATTGCATACTTACATGAATTTTACCAATTAAAAAATATTACATAAACATTTTTTTTTTAAATTTAAAGCAATCAAGAATTATTAATATCTCGATGTAATCATCAATGATATTTATTTATATATTTACAAGGGATATTGACAAAACTACTTTTAATATCGAATATTGGTTTCTTAAAAAGCCACAAATATGTATAACTTACTAAAATATGTTATAATAAAAGTTTAAATAACACACTTTACTTAAAAATATATCTTATCATAATCAAATGGTATTTTAATGTTATTCTTTAAATATTGAAATACTCTTCTCAATTAATTTGGTTCAATATTATTATTGTTTGTTAAATAACGAATTATATAAGAATTCTAAAATTAATAAGATATGATCTATTTTAGATAAATATCAAAAGATATTATATTTTAAATGTAAACTATGCTTTAAATCTTGATTTTAAAATTGATAATGAATATATTTTTAATATTTGAACTCTTTTTTAATTAAAATAGAGTAATTTCTCTATTTGACGAATACTTAATCATATATTTAGTATAAGTCATACAAAAAATTTATCATTTAACCGATATTATTATAAAATTATAATTTATAGAATTTGTACTATTATTAGTATTATTAAATCAGGTATTTTAATTTAAAATATTATGTACTTGAGAAAATAACTTATATGTAATTTTTCTATAATGTTTTCTAATGAGTTTAGACTCATTATTTCTTTCTTTCATTTTAAAAATATCTTTAAAGACAATAATTTTTTATATAGTTACTATTAGTGTTATAAAGGATACCACAGAACACAACAATTTATTTTTAGTAAAAATATAGCATTACTCTAGTTACCATTAATTTATTATTAAATAGACGATCAATGACGTACAAATTTAGATAAAGTCATTCCAAATTTTCACTTCAAAATTTGATTTTTTTTCAATAAAATTATGTTTTTATAGTAATTGGTATATGAATATTATTTTAATCATTTATATATGTGTACAATATCCACAAATATTTGTAATTTCAACACATTGGTATTAAATGGCAATAAATATAATTTTTTAAATGAATCAAATATGTTACACATATTAAAAAAATATAGCTCCATATTAATATTCAACCAAAACAAAAAAAAATTAATAAGTTAGAAACGATTTACTACTATATATTATCAATGATTTACTGCTAAATTATTTCACTAATTTACCATTAAATATGAATAGTTTATTATTAAGTTATCCATACTTTACTACTAAGCTAAAATTGATTTATTATAAATTATCATTAATTTATTGTTATCACTGATTTACAACTTAATTATAACTAATTTATCATTAAGTTATCAATAAATTATGACTAAGTTAACACTGATATATTATTATAACTAATTTATTATTATATTATTAATGATTTATTATTAAATTATCAATGATTTACTATTAAGTTATTGATAATTTATTATAAAGTTATAACTAATTTTCTATGAAGTTATAAATGATTTACTATAAAATTATCAATGATTAACTAATTTATTACTAAATTATCATTGATATACAATTAAATTATAAATGATTTATTAGTATGTTATTAGTGATTTACTACTAAATTCAATAATTTACTACCATATTATTATGCATTTACTAATTACCATTGATCAATTACTAACTTTTTAATAATTAGCTATTAAGTTATTAATTATTTACTACTAAGTTATCAATTCAATTACTACTAAGTTATTTATGCTTTATTATTAATTTATCAATAAATTACAATATATGAGATAATTTTCTTTTTATATAATAACATCATTGTTTCATTCAAATTTAGAATTTTTTTTACTAAATTTTTTTAATGAATAAGTTCATAGTAGATCTATTCTAGTTCCTAATGATGAAAGTTCTAGCTTTACTCTTTCCGGTAACCAAGGTTCAATCACTAGTAACTTCAAGTATAGAAAAATGTTATCATTAATTAACAGATAAGTTATTAATTACATATTACTATCTTATCACTAATTATTTCTAAATTATCATTAATTTATCACTAAGTTATAGATGATTTACTATTAAGTTATAAACGATTACTACTAAATTATTGATAATTTACTATTAAGTTATATATAATTTATTATAAAGTTATTACTAATTTACTATAATTTATTATAAAATTATTACTAATTTGCTATAAAGTTATTGATGATTTACTAATAAGTTGTTAATAATTAACTAATTTATAACTAAATCATTATTAATTTATACTAAATTATTACTGATTTACAGCTAAGTTATCAATAATTTACTATAACATTATTAGTGATTTTACTACTAAATTATCAATAATTTACTATAAAATTATCAATGATTTACTATATACTATTATGCATTTGCTACCATGTTATCATTGATTTACTATTGAGTTTTAGTGATTAACTACTAAATTATCATTGATTTATTTTTAAGTTATTTATGATTTACTGCTAAGTTTATAATTTAATTACTATTAAACTAAAACAAATTTACTATTAAGTTATCTATAATTTATTACTAAATTTTCATTGATTTACTATTAAATTATCAATGATTAACTATTAAGTTATTATTTATTTTTTATTAAGTTATCGTTGATTTACTACTATGCTATTATGCATTTATAATTATGTTATAATTGATTTACTATTAAGTTATTATGCATTTACTATTATATTATTATTGATTTACTACTAAGTTATCAATTATTTACGGTTAAATTATTATTGATATATTATTAAGTTATCACTAATTTACTATACAGAATTATCACTAATTAACTGTTAATTTATGGATGATTACTATTAAGTTATATTAATTTATTTTTAATTTTTAATTATTAATTACTACTAAGTTCTAAATTATTTACTACTAAATTATCATTAATTTATTATTAAGTTCTTTATGATTTTCTATTAAATTTATCAATTAATTACTATTCTCTCTATCTGTCCCAGTTAAATTGTCACAGTTGACTTTTTTTTGTTAAAATTTTTTAATTTTGACATCTATTATTTTAAATATTTTAATAAATCAAATTTTATAAAACATATATTTGAAAACCACTTTATTTAAAGTTTTTAAAATATATATTTTTTTCATATTTTTATCAATAATAAATATAAAATAATAAGTTATTAAAGTTAAAAAATTGACCAACAAAAAATAAAAATGTGACAATTTTATTGGGATGGAGGAAGTATTAAGCTAAATCTTATTTACTATTAAATTATTATTAATTTACTACTGAGTTATCACTTATTTTTATTAAATTATCCTTAATTTACTATTGTATTATTATATATTTATAATTATGTATAAATAGTTTACCATTAAGTTATTTGTTATTTATTACTATATTGTTATGTATTTATTATTATGTTATCATTGGCATACTATTATCTTATCAATTATTTATTTATTATTAAGTTATCCATAATTTAATATAGAGTTATCATTGATTAAATATAGGATAGATTAGGATCTATTATGATATATAAATTGAATTGATGAAATCAAAAAAACGTAAAAAAGAGTCTTTCCTTCTCTATCTCTGCCTATTTTTTTTGTCGTCCTACATTTATAATTTATACATCTCCATTTATACACGAAAAATACATCAAAACAAAAAAATGTAAAAAAACCATTTTATTTACCTAATAAAAAACAAACTTGAATTTTTTTCTATTAATTGGTAATTGGTCAAGCTCGAAGAGAGAGTATGCCCAATTTTCATTTTCAATCAAATTCGAATGAGACTCGTAATTAATCTGTTAAAGGATACATAATTTTGAAAAAAGAATATTTTTTTTTTCCATTAGTAACTCGGTGATATCATTTGATTACTTCTAACTTCGAAATTTGAATATTTTTGAAATATTTGAGAAAGATTAAAAGATTAAGAATAGTGTCTAAATTATCACTAATTTATAATAAAATTATTAATAATTTGCTACTATATTACTCTCTCCGTCTTTATTTATTTGTCTTGTATTGACTTTTACGAAGTTAAAAAAAAGTTTTGACTTTAACGTATTTAATATTAAAATTAAATTTTTTTATAAAATTAAAGTTTTACGATTTTTAATGTTAAAAAGTAAAAAAAAAATCATAAAAAATAATTTAAAATATAAAAAAGTAAGAGTTTTAGACGTCTAAAACAAAAAATAAACAAAATTTTAGGACATCCAAAAAGAAAAAAAAGATGGACAAAAAAATAAGATAGAGGGAATATTATACATTTACCATTATGTTATAATTTATTTACCACTAAATCCTCTACAATTAATTTAA